AAAATGAGCCTATATTTGAAACGCAAGGTCGCGCGCGAGGCGCCTCGAGTGCGCGATGCCGTCGTGCGATCCGTGGTGTGCAAGACAGGGCTAGGGCTCGAATACGGGACATGTCTGTCTGAGTCGAGGAAACAGAATCAGATCACGAAGCTAAGGGTCTGTGAATGCAGGACCATTGGATTGGATGATGTTCGTGCTCCGGTGTGCGTATTTGTGTACTACAGATCCAGATATAGTGGTTATTTCATTATTGCACAGGAGGCTAGGATTTTCTGGGTGTTTTGCGACGCAAGGAGCCGAAACAATATTTTCGAGAATGGAGCTGCGAAAACGCTCTCACTTTATATTTCGACTCCCGTTAAGCAACCCGCCTCTCCTCTCCCGAGGGTGGGGCGGTAATACAGGCAATACGCCTTTTTCGCCCCTTAAGCACTCCCGCTTATCGAAAATGTGCGATGCGTTCCCTGGTGAATTGACTAGAGTAGGATATCGGGAGTTGGGTGAACTCAGATACGGCCGTCAATGATGAAGTCTACCACACATCGTACAGCCCAGAAGGCACAAAAAAGATGCGAACCTACAAATCTGAATCGACGACTTCAAAATCGCCCGTGCCACTTATGTGATACCATTTTGGCTTAAGTGTTAAGCTTTGCTTTTTGACCAAGTCGATTCCATCATGTTTGCCTGTAGCTGTCAGCGCCAATACGAATGTAGAATTTTTCTCATATACATATCCTCGCCAAAGGGTGGTCAAATCCCGTGCCCCACTGGCATACTGTACACAGGCCATTTACGCACCCATTCGTTACGTCTCATCCTGTCGACGAGTCTTGCAGGCCTCGCGAGGACGTGATGATTCGATACTATCGAGCGCTCGTCATTGTCTGTCTTGGACTCAGATGAGCGAGGGCCATGGATCACAAATGTAGCCAACGTAAAAGATAACGCTGCAAGACTACTGTCTTAAATCCACCGGCGCGCGTTTCGTAGACGACGCCCAAAACCAAGGTGAATATAGTGTACTCGAGTGGGATCCGTGACGTGGGGATCTGAGTTGGTGGACCTGCATCTGAGTCCATCAGATGGGCGAATCCCACGAACAATACACAGTGGTAGCAGCGAACCTGTGGTCATAGGCAATGCTTGTTGCGCTTATTATTTCGCAAGTAGTACTTTCCAATCGTTGCCCCGTCGTTTGCGAAACCCGCTTCCTCAGCAAAGTTGACTCGGCCTAGGACGTCGATATTCCCAGCAAACTCACGACCAAGATTCGCATCTCCGGTGTCAAGCTCTACGCCATATCTATAGCTAGGTTCCTCCCTAGAGCACAAGCTTACCCAATACAGCTGTGCAATGCCGTGACAATGAAACCTACAAGTCGCTTCTAATGCCATTCAACACCTGGCCATTCACCGTCGATGTATGCAAAAAATCAAGAACGATTACTTAAGACCTTCCCACGATTCTGTTTCCTCGACTCAGACAGACATGTCCCGTATTCAAGCCCTACCCCTTTCTTGCGCACCACGGATCGCACGACGGCATCGCGCACTCGAGGCGCCTCGCGCGCGACCTTGCGTGTCAAGTATCGACTCATTTTCCAACTCGCGTCGTCTCCGACACCACTACCACCACTACACCATGAAGACCGCCTGTGTCACGATGGCCCTCGCCGCGACGTCGGCTGCGGCGATGCAGCTCAGCAACGACGAGCGCGCCACGCTCGCCACCGAAGTGTTGGCGTGGAAGGCGACCGAAGCCGGCAAAGTCGCGATCGAGCAAGGCCTGGCCAAGCCCAGCAGCAACCAAGAGTCTCTGGACGTGTCGGACGACGAGGTGCTCCGCTTCGCGGCCACCAAGAAGATCGTGGACCAGCTCAACATCGACCACCCCGAGGCGCGCTTCTCGACCAACAACCCGTTCGTGCTGTTGACGGAGAAAGAGTTTGCCGAGTACGTCAAGGGGTCGTTCGGTCGTGGCCAGCCCGAGCGCCGCTTGCGCGCAGACACGGTCGCCCGCGACTTGACGGCCGAGCAGGCCGAAGCGGCTGGCATCGACTGGAGCGCCGACAAGTGCAACCCGTCCGTGAAGAACCAGGGCAACTGCGGGTCGTGCTGGACGTTCTCGTCGGTGGCCGTGGCCGAGCAAGCGCACTGTCTCGCGACGGGCTCGCTCCTCGACCTCTCGGAGCAGCAGCTCGTGAGCTGCGACTCGAGCTCGGGCGAAGGCTGCCAGGGCGGCTGGCCCTGGAAGGCGCTCGACTACATCTCGGCCAACGGCATCTGCACCGAAGCCGACTACCCGTACAAGTCGGGGTCGACGGGCCAGAACGGCCAGTGCAAGACGTCGTGCCGTAAGACCAAGCTCAGCATCGGTGCCACGGTCAACATCCAGGGCGAGAGCGCGCTCCAGTCGGCGCTCGACAAGCAGACCGTCCAGGTCATCGTCGAGGCCGGCAACAACGTCTGGAAGAACTACCAGAGCGGCGTCGTCAAGTCGTGCCCTGGCTCGCAGTCGGACCACGCCGTCCTCGCGGTCGGCTACGGCACGCTCAGCGGCGTCAACCACTTCAAGATCAAGAACTCGTGGGGCACGTCGTGGGGCGCGGGCGGCTACATCTACTTGCAGCGCGGCGTCGGTGGCAACGGCATGTGCAACGTCGCCGAGCACCCGTCGTACCCCAAGATCAGCACGTCGCCGACGCCGACGTCGCAAGACCCGACCGATAGCCCGTCACCGTCCACCAAGACGCCTGAGCCGACGACCAAGAGCCCGTCCCCTACGACCAAGACCCCCGTGCCGACCACGAAGAAGCCCAACAAGTGCCACGGCTGCACGGGGTGCTACTACCCGGATGGTGACGAGTGCTACAACGACTATGACGCCGAGACGTGCCAAGACTTGAGCTGGGACTACGGCACCATCTGGTGCGGCAACTAGGCGCTAGCACACCGTCATTTGTCTGTACAGACCTCCTCGCGATCTCTACGACGCGGTACATGTCCAACGTCGTCTATCAATGCAACATATGAAACTTTATTGTGCCTCTGGCTCAGGTATATTTTGTTGAATCCCGCAAAGCGGCTCGAGGGAACGGGTACAAAATGATGTATTCGAACGCGAGCTCAGACTCAACTAGCGACAAGAGGCATGACATCATACGCATGCAAAGGTTCTGTGGCAGGAGCTCTTCACAAATTATGATGAGCTTTTTGAATGAAAAATCCCTCGCGATGAACTGAACGGTTGCCCTCGCTTCGATGAGCGAAATGGCGCCAAGAACAGGTATCCGGATGGTTTCGTGTCCGGTTGCGAAAGAGCACCTGATGTCGCATTTGTTGCCTTTGGAAGGATGGTTCGCGTCGTGGCTACGCCGTACGGACTCGGTGCTCTCGAAGCAGACGCGGCGTCGACCGACGCCGTGCGAACTACTGTCATGCTGCCGTGGGGCCGCAGCTACATGCGTACTAGCGACGTGGCGCCGCGCCACCTCTTCCGCGCCACATGCCTCACGTCCAAGGTGCGCCACTTTGACGTGGAGGTCGCGCTGGACTGCTCGCTTAACGACCTCCGGGCTTGCATCATCGAGGCGCTCGGCGAGCCCCTCTTTCCTGAGACCATTTCGGTGCTGCAGCCTACTGTCGGTGGCCGGCATAGGTTGACGGATGGCAGCCCGTGTATCTTTCGATCGCTGCAGCCGCTGCTTGTGGTCATTGCGCCACTACTGCAGCTCGGCAAGATGGCGCTGGCACTGCATTTGGACATGCGACCCTACGACACCAGTACGCTCGAGCCACGCAAGAGCATTCCCGCGTTCGAGACGCTTCATGATGTATCGCCCCGGCTCACGCTGCCATCCATCGTGCAGGTTGCCCGTGGCGCGTGCGCAGTGGTCGCCAAAGACGCTCTGCGCTCCGGCGTCGTCTACTGGGAAGTGCGTCTCGACGAAACCGTGGGCGGCGACGGACTGTTTATCGGCATTGGCACGACCGACATGCCGCTGAATACAAGTGTGACGAGCACGGGCTTGTTTTATGGCCTCGCCGTCGCCTCGGGCCAGAAAGTGCACATGACCCCTGAGGCGTACGGCCCGAAATGCGCCAACGGCGATGTGCTCGGCGTCGAGTTTGACGTGGACCGGGGGACGCTGGGCTTTTACCGCAACCGCGTGTTTCTCGGCATCGCCTTTCGCAATGTCTTTGGCAAGACGCTGTGTGCGGCCTTTGGCACCTCGGGCGTCGGCCTTCGGTTCACGATCCTTCCGCGGCGCACACCGCCGTCTCTACTATAGGTTGGTTGTCGTCTGAAATCCGAAGTCCGATTTTCAAATACGTGTCCCTTGTTGCGAGCATACTAGAGCGTCTGGTATGCCTACGCAACAGGTTACACTGCTCCTTGCCGATTTGTACTTCAGTGAGAGCACTCGTACCGGACCCGCCGCGGTTCAAATGACCGTACTTGTCAAGGTAATTTTGGTCGAGGTTGCGGATGCTGCTGCCGAGGTCGATGCCACCGCTGCCCCGTGGCATCCAGGTTCTGGGTCTCGCTGGCGGCCGCCAATGAGTCGAAGCACTACTGGGATAAAATGATCCTGGCGGCATGCAATACCGTGATGGAAGAGATGTTCGAGACGATGGACTAGTGTATTGCCAAGGCCTTGATATTGCTGGCGGTTCCGAGCGCAATTTTCAGTGCCACAATTTAGTACAGCAATTAAATAACATCTGATGGCCGGTTGCTGGATGTCAAGCAACCAGATTTTTGCACGATCCACATGGCCGCGCTGCCGCTGAACCGGCACCTCGTGCACACGTCGACGTGGAGCAACCCGAAGAGCCGTGCATGGGACCTCGTCGACGCGCATCCGCTCAACCAGCAAGTCGACGTCTTCCTGCCGTCGGCGACGCCCGGCAGCGTCGGGCCGCTCGCCCGCGAAGGCTCCTTCTTCTACGCGATGCGCGTGTCGCCGCTGGCCTTGCTGCAGGAATGCTTGGCCAAGCCCGAGCTGCGTTACTACGCGACGCTCAAGAACGCACCCATCGACGGCGCCAACACGCTCGGCCTCTTTCCCAGTGGTATTGGCTCGTCCTTCCTACTGCGCCTGGATCTCTGACGCAACGTCGTCGTATAGGCCACCTCGTGCTCGTGCTGGACCACGCGACGTACACGCAGTTTGGCCTTATCGGCGAGAAGGTGGCGACGGCGTCGGGCGAAGCGCTGCACGGCCGGCGGTACCGCGTCGTGATCGAGCTCCATGCGAAAAACATGGTCGACGCCGCGTCGGCCTTCCGCGCGCGTGTCCTCGCCTGCGTCGCGCGCTTCCCGCCGCTCGATCTGCTGCTTTGCGCGATCAACAGCCGCGGCAGCTTCCAGACGATCGCCATCACGGACGCCAACGTCGACGACGACGAGAGCGTCCGCAAACGCATTGAAGTGACGAGCCAGGTGCAGGCCTTTGCAGACATCGCGCTGCCGGCACATGTCTCGTCGACGACCGATCGCGATGAGATAGCTGCGGTGTACGAGTGGCTCGGGTTGGTGGCCTGCCGCCTCTTGTCGCCGCTTCCGGACGAGTACCTCTCCAGCTACGCGTCGCCGATCGCGGAAACGACACCGGGCCGCGCCGTGAGTCTCCGGTGGCGTGGTCTTATTCCCGACACGCTCGTGCACACGGCCGTCGAGTATGCCAAGAAGCAAGTGGCCGACGGCAGCGCCCCGTTCGCGGCCGTGAGTGTCTGGGGCTTTCCAGACAGCGTCGCGTCGTGGTGGCAAAAAGGCCATCGGCGGGACCACGGGTTCCAGTTGGAAGGCGCGAATGGCTACACGATTCTGTGCCTCCCGCACGACACCTACTGCATTATCCAGTCGCTCGGGGCGCAGGACAGAACCGTGTAAGCACGAGCTACTACCATAAAGACGAAGAAGATGAAGACGAAAATTAGATGCCATGCACTTTCTTATGACATTGCAGGTCGGCGGGGGATCGAGGCGACCTCTTCGAGGTAGATACGCTGGCCGTCGATGCGCTCGCAGTCGAGAGCCCGCACGGCCGTCTCGGCGTCGGCCTTGGACACGAGCGTTGCGTACGCGAGGTCCGCGCGATGCAGCACGACCAGCTTGCTCGTGATCCCCGCCGAGTGCAGAAACTGCTTGATCTTGGTCGTGGTCGCCGAAAGCGGCAAGTTGTTGAGCGAAATGTAGTAGGCGCTAAATGGCAGGATGAGGAAGCGACGGCGGAGGCACCGCGTACCCGCCATCGATCACGTTGGCCGTGCGCTGCGTTTTGCGCGGCGCGACCACGTGGACGCTCACGCGCTCGCCTTCAATCTCGCGCTGGTGCATGGCCCTCGCGGCGCTCTCGGCGTCGTCGTCGTTCTCATAGGTCTACGCCATGGTATACGTTCTCGCCTCCTCTCGACGGGTCGTACGATGTAGGCGTGGCGCACGAGCGGCTCCAGGTCGGCCTTGAGCGTGTGGATGTGCATGGACGCGATCGGTCCAAAGCCGTCGAAGATCGCTGTCAGCTCGTCGTCCTCGACGCCGTCGGGCACGGGCCGTACAAAGACCTTGCCGCCCATGCGCTTGGCTCGTGTGGCAACACTCTTGTGGCTTTTTGACCAATCAAACGACACGAATTCACACGCGTCGATGCCATTGGTTGGCTCCAAAGATTTGCCATCGCGGTTGGCGCCGACACGGATCCCGGACGAGAGGGCTTGGAGCCTGCAGTTCTCGGGTCTGGTACCAGTCTTGCGCAGGCATTACCATGCAACAAACTGGGTTTTTAGTTCTCTCATGCGCCAACACAGAAGCGAGAAGAGAGACACAAATCCTCTTGAGCGTCGGGAAAAGACGCCATGTTGAACCGTTCAAAATCGAGCTTGCTACGCAACAGGAGACAAGTTACGGCGTCAAGGCCACGAGCTGCGCGACGAGCTCGGCGCGTGCACTCGTCTCGGCGTCGTCCTTGACGAAATTCTGGATTTCCTTCAGGTACTTGGCAAGGACCTTGGGCGACTCGACGCCGAGCGAGAGCACGTAGCGCTGGACGATCGCCATAAATTTCCACTTGTCGTCGAGCTGGTGCAGACCCTTCCAGATACGGATCGCAGCTTTCGGCCACCCCAGCGCTGTCACAAGAGCCGCGACCTCGGCCAGCACAACGTCGTCCGCGCTGCCACGCAGCGACGTGCGGTAGAGCGCGAGGGCTGCCGCGGGGTCCACAAACACCACCGATCGCGCTGCGTACAACGACGCATTTGGCATCGACGCCGCCAGCGTCGACGCCGACGCCGCGTGCGTCTTGGCGCCCGTCGCATCGTGCGTCCACGCGCAGTAGCCGCTCATGAGCACATGCCACTCCCACGTGAGATGCGCCTCCTTCTTCATCTTCAAGTAGAGGCCGAGGGTCTTGAGAATCGACGCGTCGTGGGTCGCGGTATAGCGTTTGAAGAGCGTCAAGACAAGTGCCCGCCAGGCGTTGGGATCGCGCGGGTTCTCGCGGTACCAGGCTTGGACTGTCGCGCGCGGCGGCGTCCACACTGTAAAAACATCGAGGATCGCGTGCACATGACGAGACACGGGCAGCGCCGTCGCGGCCGGCCGCGTCACCGCCGACGACGCGGCGACAAGGTGCGCCAGCGCCGCAATCGACACCGCCGACCCGTCTTGTCTCTGCACCGCGTCCAGCCACGCGGGCACAAGCCCCGCATCGCACAGGTCCGATGGTACCGACTCTTTGTCGCGGCTGTCCTTGTCGTCGCCGTTGGACGTTGTCCAATACGTCGCCCAATCGAGCTCGACGCGTGCGAGGGTCGCGGCGATGCTGGCGTGGCGCGGGTGCACTTTCATGAGCGCCTGCAGCGCTGCCATCGAGGCTGGCGACAGCGAGCGCGACGCCTTGAACTCGGCTTCGTACGTGGCGAGGGCGACATGGAGGGCCGACGCCGGCGACCGAATGCGCTGGAGCGCTGCGTGCGCGTCGCCAAAGCGGTTCAAACCGGTATAGATCTAGAGCATATGAGTGGAGGCGTACATCGTTCGCGCACGAGACCTGCGCCGCCAAGAGCTGCTTGGTCGTGTCGTCCTCGGTCTCGAGGACCGTCCACGCCGCCAGTGCCTCGGGCCACTGCTTGGCAGCAATGTAGTTGCGAACAATGTTGCCTTGCAGGATCGCAGACGTCGTCGCCACCGAATCGAACGCGGTGGCCGCCGCGGCGTGCAACCCGAGCTGCGAGAGCACGACGCCGTGGGCGTTCTGTGCCGCCGCCTCGAACGGGTCGCGCTCGAGGTACTTTTGCAGCGCAAACTGGATCTGCGGCAGCGGCAACGCCTCTTTACTGGTCGTTGACACTTGAAGGCCCGTCGACGCGACGCCGTAGAGCACGTCCAAATCGAGGCGCATCTGGAGGGCACACGTGTACGCTGCGTGGGCTTGGCTCGCATCGCCCTTCTCGATCTCGAGAAGACCGTAGCCCGTCCACATGGCGGGGTTGTTGGGGTTCACGCCTTGGAGGCTCAAAAAGGCTTTTTGGGCCGACGCCGGCGCGCCGGCATAGACATAAGCATGCCGAGGTTTGCCCACGCGCAGTCCAAGTTCGCGAGCTGGATCGCGCGCACAAAGCCAAAGTGCTTGAGCACAATCTGGCGTTGCACCGCACCGAACGCATTCCACGCGTGTGCGTTCAGCGGCTCGAGTGCAAGCGCCTGCGCAAACGCGGTCGACGCGTCGTGCATGAGCTGATCGATCGACGAGGGGTACACCGGGGCGTGCTGCAGCGCGAGCTTGCCCATGGGCACGCCGTCGACCGCGCCCCGGGCCATGGCTTCGTACCAATGGCCAAGACCGAGGTCCAACCACGCCGCGGGCTCGTTGGGCTCCATAACCGACACGGTTTTGTACGCGGCCGTGCCAGCGCTGAGAAAGTCGACCCAGGATGCAAAGTCGCCAGGCGCCAAGTAGAAGGCGAAGCAGTGCACGTCACCAAGGAGCTTGTGCAGCGCGGGCTCGTTGCTCGCCGTCTCCAAGCACGTTTGGAGCAAGCCCGAGGCTTCGCACAAATGGGCGGCCGCGCGGCCGTAGAGGCCCTGGCCGCAGAGGAACTTGGCGTGCTGAAACAACGTCTCTGCAAGAAGCTTGCGCACGGCAATGTCGTTCGCGACCACGTGCGCGGCCGCGGTGCGGAGATGCGCGAGCGCTTCGTCAAAGAGGCCGACCGAGAGCTCGATCCGCGCGAGCTCGGCCAAGACGGACGGGTTGGTGTCCATGCCAAGACTCACCGCTTTGGCGTACGACTTTTGCGCGGCCATGACACGGCCAAAGCTCGCATACACGTGGCCGAGGGCAGCCCAGTAGGACGCATCGGACGGGGCCTGACGCAGCACCTTGTGCATCGACGCGATCGCAGCTTCGTCGTGGGCGTTCAATTGGTGCTGGGCCAGACGGCGCAACGCCCAGATCGGCGCCATGACGCCGTCGGCGGTCATGGTCATGTCGGTCCAGAGACGCACGTTGCGATCTTCTTGGTCGTGCGCTTCGTAGAGGCCGCTGAGGAGCGTGCCGGCGCGCTCGCAGTGCGGGTTGAGCGAGAGCGCTTTCAAGAAGCACTTTTCCGCGCGCACGAGGTCCAAAGCAATGTCGAGGTACCAGCGACCGAGGCCGGCAAAGCTCTCGGCGTCAAACGAATTGAGTTTGGCCGCCGAGAGGAGTGCGCTGACGCAAAATGCCTTGTCGCGCCGATACTCGCCGTCCAAGTCCCAGTACACGTCGGCGAGCCGGCGCTTGAGGCACGCGAGGTCGAGGGCCTCGCCCGTGAGCGCGCTGCCCGCTTCCAGGAGGCGGCGAGCAGCGTCGAGGTCGCCTTGGAGGTACAAGAGATAGCCACGGGCGGCCGCGAGTGCGACCGACGTTGGCTCCTCACTAGGCACTGCGATCAGCCATGCACCAGAAACAGCAAAGCCAAAGTGAGTACCTGAGGAACTGGAGGGCGTTGGCAGCCAACACCACGTCGCGCTGGGCCAAGTACGCTTCTGCGAGCCCAATCGCGGGTGCTTCGAGCAGTGGCGCGTGCTCCAAAATGCCTTCGTAGCACACGATCGCATCCGCATATTTGTGGAGCGCGCGGTACGCGGCGCCCGAAAGCAAACTCAAGTGGGTCTCGTCCAAGCTAGACGCGCGAGGTGTAAACGATGTGAGATAGTAAGCGGCTCGACACGTACATGGCCAGCGACGGCGCCGTCAAGAGGTTGTCATAGCGCCACGTCACCGCGTCCTGGGCGCTCGCAATCATGTCGAGGCAGACCTGCGGTTGGAACGTCGGGCCCGGCACCATCGCAATCTCCGCCAGGGCGACGCGCGCCGCCAGCAAGTGCGGACCCGCCGCGATGCACTTGGTCAGCGTCTCCCGCGCCTACAGCATGTGACATGTGGCTTTCAGTTGGCCATTCCAAAACGCACAACAATGCAAGGAAAATGAAACGAAAATGCGAAGTACCGCGTACCGGGACGTAGGCTTTGGCTGCGTGCATGGCAAGCCCGTCGATGGCCATGAGGAGGAGGTTGTCCGGGTCGACGTGGCGCAAAATGGACTCGCACGTGCTTTTTTGGGTCGCATCCAGGGCTACAGACAGCATGAGGCGACACCATTACAGGGGAGCACGGACCGCCGTCGCTGTCTTCGGCGCGCAGCAAGAGAATCTCGGCCGCGCGCTTGGCGACGGGGCACCATGTAATCATATCGCGGCAGATCGCATCGAGGGTCTGGCGATCGAGGTTCTTTGTTGTCGATTGCGGTTGAACGAGCCGCGTGAGTGCCAGGTCAGCGTACGCGTCAAGGACAACCGCCACCTTGTCCGAGCACACCCAGCCCGAGGTCGTTGTCGCCACGGCCCGGATCTTACCCACCAGTGCGTACAAGACAGCTTCCGGCGCTTGGAACGGGCCTGCTGTCTTGCTGGCCTATAGGAAATCGTACGCATAAGAAGCGCGATGGAGGACGACGGGACGGAATTGCCTGGACAAGATCGAGCACCGAGAGCCACATGTCGACGCTTGGCGGCAACTCGTCGTTCGGGTTCTCCTCGGCGAAGAGCTCGGGGCGTGCTTTTTCCTTGACGAGGAGCGGGTGCCAGGACGCGAGCGCCTTGGCATAGTCCTTGGCGAGTGTCGCGGCGATCGCCATGTCCAAAAGCATCTTCTGGCACCGATCAAACTTGCCATTCCTAATCCACGCACATGTTGGAAGGCGATGTCCATGCTGTTGAGGGCGGCGCTACGCGTAAACGATGGCCGAGAGCTTCTCCAGAGGCTCGAGCATCTTGGCGTGGTCGGCCGTGCTCTCGTAGACTTCGAGCATGCCCTGCGCGAGATGAGTCGACTTGGCGAGGAGGATATACGCCGTACCTTCCAGGCAAACGGCACGTCGGCTTGGATGGCCGCTGCGCGCTTGTAGGCGTCGACGGCCTTGGTCGGCTACGTGGATAGTACATTATAAGCAACCTGCGATCGAGAAGATCCAGCGCCGCCTACTTCGTGCAAGTGGAAGTGGCTCTTGCCCATACAGAGCAGCGCTTGGAAGTTGAGTCCGTCGAGCTCGAGGGCCTTGGCGCTGGCTGCGAGCGCGGCCTCGTAGGCCTCGTCCTTGAGCTTGGCCTTGGCCTCGGTCACGTACTGCTTGAGCATGCTGGCCAGGAAGCGTGAAAATGCAATCCTGTCACACTTTATATCTGCTTGCACATAATATTGAGGTTTATCTGAGTGGTGAAATCGCATATTTTGCTGCGGTCGCGGGACAAGTCGACATCTCTCTACGCTTGTGCTTGGCGTAGGATGTCATGGAATACTTGGTGCAGTCGAGCGTTCATCATCCTCAAAACTCCGTGCTCTCTCGGGAAGGCGTTGACCGTTCCTACCAGTGCCGGTAGCCTCGTTCGACCCCCTCCTGCACAACTCGGCAATTTGCAACGCACCAATAGCTTATGGACCCTAAACGCCTAAACGTCGCGGGGTCCATAGTCGATCGCTTGATATTGTCCATTCTTCAATAGTACTCTCAGTGCTCTCGACGCATTTGTGCGAAAGACATCCCGTTGAAAGACAGGACACGTGGCCGCACAACCCGACGCGTCGATGCAAACACACGGATTCCGTGGAAAGCACTCTGCGTTTGTATGGGTCGCCCGGACCAGAAAACTGACGCACGCCACGCTCGTACGTACTGTAGACGAAGGCGCGATGCAGTCATTCCCTCGCTCTCTACTAATAGCAAAGGTCCTTGCGAGAGCCCATCTTCCGAGCGTAGAGCCTCAAGGATTCCTTGATGAGAGAGAGTAGCAGCCAGAACTGCCAGAACTAAATTGGAGATCGAGGGAGGGCCGGCGGTTCCGAATTTTAGCCAATTGGAGGCTGCCACAAATGTATTTTATCACTTCAACATCACCATTTTTGGCGCGTATTTTATTTGATTGCACACGCCGGCCCTACGTTATCACTGCTATTTAATGGCAAGCGGAACGAAAACAGCTGCCAAATTAAAAGAAAAACGCGGTCGACAGGGCTTGTCTTTTTGGTCATTTTGCTTTCACACGCACGATGGTCAACCTCCTCCCGCTGCTGTCGCTCGCCGCCGTTGCCCTCGCGCAGGACTGCGCACCCCAAGATGCCCATGTGGCCTCGCTCCAGAAGGACTTGGCGACGCTCCAGGCCACCGAGGCGCAGCACAAGGCCGACCTCGTGACGGTGCAGACCAAGTTCGAGGAAGAAGCCGCGGCCGTCTCGGGCCTCCAGACGCAGCTGAACTCGGCTGTCAACGAACTTGCAGCCATCACGTCGGAGAAGGACGAGCTTATTGCGACCGTCGCTAAGCTGCAGGCAGCCGATGTCTCGACGGAGCTCAAGGCCGAAGTCTCGACGTTGGTCCAGGACAAGCAGGCGCTCAGCGACAAGCTCAAGAAGCTGGATGCGGATAACGCTGCGCACCAGCGCCGCATTGAAGGCCTCCAGGCGGAGCTTGCAGCCTCCAAGGACGCACTTACGCAAGTCAAGACGCTCCAGGCCAAGCTGACGACCGCGTCCAAGGAAATCGAGTCGCTCCAGGAGACGCTCAAGCGCTCGGCGGAAGGTGGTCTCTCGCTTCCGGCCATGATCTCGACGTACTATGACAACGCGGTGACGTTCACGACGCAGACGTACGAAGACTCGGACCGGTATGTGTCGCTGGCGTCGTCCAAGGCGACCGAGCTCTACGCGATTCACTTGGCGCCGTGGGCGGACGAGGCCGTCGCGCACTCGACCGTGGCGGCCAAGACGGTGCAGGACCTCTACACGACGCACGCGGCCGCGACGGTCGACCCGCTCCTTGACCAGCTCCACGCGACGGTGCAGCCGATCTTGGACGTGCAGGTGCCGATCGCCAAGCAGCGCTTGGCGCGCGCCCAGGACGAGGCCGTCGTGCTCGCGAAGCGCGGCCAGGACGTGTACAAGCGCTCGCGCAAGAATGCGATTGCGTTTTTCAAGTCGAACCCGCGCATTGCGCCGTATGCGACCAAGATTGTCGACACGACGATCGTCCTTCTGAGCATCCCGATCGCGATCGCGCTGCTCCGCCTCGCCGTGTCGACGGTGTTTGTGGTCCTCTCGACGTTGCTGTACCTTGTCACGTGCTGCGGCTGCTGCGGCCTCGTCGGTCGCAAGCCCAAGACGACCCGCGAGGTCGCGACGCCCGTTGTGACGGCGCCGACCAAGGCCACCAAGCCCATGGCCAAGGCGCAAACGAATGACTCGGCGCCCAAGGCCAAGGCGCCCAAGACGCCCGAGCCCGTGACGCCGCCGTCGGCCAAGAAGAAGAAGGCCAAGAAGACGCAGTAAATCCAAATTGGAGCAACACGCTGGTATTATGATAGACGAAACATTTTTTCTGGAGCTGGGAGCGCATAATAGTACGAGAGGCAAGGTACAGGAAGTCGCACGACGCGTGCACCGGGTCAGGCGCTACATGTACGTACTATGATACACAAACGTGCTTCTTCTGACTCGAGCTTAAATGTATGTCGGCGTCCGTCGAGCTGCCGTCCTCAGTGTACTATGGCGTGTTAAATTGACGGGACAGCAACACACGTCATCAGACAGACAGGCCACAAGGTCGCTGCTTGGACCTTGGTCATTGTGGTATGATCGATGTCCTCTTCTCTCACTGCTGACCGCGATTGTCAGGCAAAATACGCCTTCTCGGCTTTCGTCTTCATGCTTGGGTTGCAGCGGAAATGCAAATGCTTGGCACAAAAAGTGCATCTAAAAACACACAATCGTGTGCTTTGAACTGGTACTCAATTTTAGCACGTTTGCATCTTAAGTGGCGTGCCGGTAGCTAACACCGTGACCGCCCATGCCCCTCGCTACAAGAACATTCGGCACTAGTTCTACTAAAGCGGCGGTGGATTCGTGAAATTGCCGCCAAGGCCGGCGGTTTTCGCTCCATTTACCACCAAGTCACCGCAGCCGGAAGATGCTGAACGTCGGCAACACGGCTGGCGCCCGGGCGCAGCCGCGGAAGACCTTGCAACGCGTGGCGCTCTCCATGTACACGGAGCCGCCGCAGATGGAGGTGACGCTGGAGCAGTTCGAGGCCTACTCGATCGACCGTCTCCAGATGCTCAAGACCATCGAGATGCAGCGGCTACGCGGCCGCGACGACGCCAAGCTCGAGAAGGCCATGCACCGCTACTTGCCGATGCGTACGACCGAGGACCGTGCGAAGGACAAGGTTTCGCATTTCATTTTGCGCATGGCGTTTTGCCACACGGAAGAGCTGCGGCGGTGGTTCCTCGCGCAGGAATCCATGCTCTTCAAGTTGCGCCTCGACATGGCATCGCGCGACGAGAAGATGCACTTTATGAAGCGTCATGGCCTCCTCTACGATCAAGTACGCGGTTGCTGGTGATGCCATTGCCAATGTATATTCTGCCCGATTAGGTCGAGGCCGACGAAATGGCTGCGCTCAAACCCCAGCTCACCGCCGTGCACCGTGCCAGCGTCGCCAGCATCAAGGAAGGATACAATGTACCCGAAGTGTACGTCAAGGTGCCCTTCACCGAAGCCATCGATCTCGTACCTACCTCCTCATGCATGCCGCATCTAACGCTCGCACTAGATTGGTTCACGCAAGGTATTTCTCAAGGCAGGCACGGCCTACGTTCCGTTCGAGCACTTGGTCACGATCTTGTTTGCTCGGTTTCGGTCCACAGTACGCATCCCTTGTCGATTCCGATGCGCTGACGTAAAACGACGTAGCTCTCCAAGCACCTCGCCGTGGCCTTTCGCAAGTTCAACGGGTCGGCTGCGGCGCGCGACGACCGGCTCATGCCCGTGCTCAAGAACCTCGCCAAGCACCACATCGGGCCCGACTATGGGTCGGCGCCCGTGGCGTCCGGGAATGCGATCACGCCCGATATGATTGACGGCCTCGCGGCGACGTCGATGCCACTCTGCATGAAGTCGCTCCACCAAGCGCTCAAGACGCAGAGCCATCTCAAGCACGGCGGGCGCATGCAATATGGTCTCTTCCTCAAGGGCATTGGCCTGCAAATGGACGACGCGATCACGTTCTGGCGCACCATCTTTTGCAAGAAAATGAACGTCGACGACTTCAACAAAAAGTACGCGTACAACATTCGGCACAACTATGGTAAAGAAGGCAAACGCAAGGACTACACGCCGTACAACTGCATGAACATCATCACGTCCGACCCGCCAAAAGCCGGCGACTACCACGGTATCCTCCATTTAGAGTCGAAGAAATCATGACCGAATGTGTAGGCTGCCCGTTCCGCCACTTTGACGAATACCACTTGCGGGCCAGTCTCCGCGGTATCAACGAAGTCGAGAAGGAAGCGATCGTGCAGCTCGCGAAGAGCAAAAATTACCAAGTCGCTTGCCGCCGCCACTTTGAAGTGCTCTTCCCACAGGGCAACGCCGACGCTGTCGGGAACCACCCAACGCTTTCTTTGAAGAGAGCCGCAAGGTGCAGACTGCCATCAAGACCGAAAGCGTCAAGTCCGAAGGTGTCAAACCCGACGTCGTCAAGGCCGAGGCGTAGGCGTCGTCAGAGGTGCATATATAAATCAAGTTGCTTTCTCCGTGCGGCTGCGCTCGTACTTGGCCATGACCACGTCCGCCAAGAGCCGCGCAAGGACGAGCCGGACCACGCGGCGGTCCGAACGAAAGCTCTAGCACCAAAACACGCAAATTCAAACGAATCAAGGGGTAGGGGTTGTACTTGGACGGCGTCGGGTGCCCGGCTCGTCGTCGCGCTGTCGTTGTTGTCGCCTGCAGACCAACATGAGAGATGTCAACTCGATGCATGTACCGCTCGTCTCGTCGGTCGACGCCGGCAAGAGGCGAGGACCCGCGAGAAAGTGCTGCAAGAGGGCACAGAACCCCGTTGGGGCGTTGGCCGGTAGCGCCAGGTAGCTTGGCGCTAGCGTGAACGCGCTTTTTTCAAACTACAAACGGTGAGAAGAACGCGAGAAGCATCTTCGTGCTACCTGTAGATGGCGCTCGAAGGCCACCTCGGCGACCGTGCGGCCGTCGACATACCCCGTCACGGAGAAATGCTTGATTTGCTCCGTGACGGTCGCAAGCACCTAGGCACGTAGTAGTGAGGGGTGGTGTCGCCGAGACAACGGGTGTTGTACGATGCCGTAAGGCCCATGGACGTCGGCGTGCGAGTGCACGTAAGCCGTGACGTCGGCTTCCGGGAGCTGGAACAATCTACGCGCCAAGTGAGTGCGAAGCGACGCCCGCCAATGTGTACCGAAACTTGGTGGCAGCCGTTAGCTGGGTCCACCACGTGGCAAAGGCGGCGCCGTGCTCGGCCCAAAACGACGCGTACAATGGCAAGTGCTGCTTGAGGCGGTGTCGGATCATGACGCGCTGCTTCTGGACGTCTTCGTGGATGAACGTCGGCCACGGCGAGAACATTTCGCGGTCTTCGTCGTCCGTCTCTACAGCCAAGGCATTTCAGCATCGTCAGTGGTGTCGTAGCATGGAACCCCAGTCGGAGCACGGCGCGTCCAGCGCAGCAAAGTTGATCATGGCCGAAGAGATGCCACAGCACGAGCAGCCGCCCTGATCGTATTCATCATCGCTACACGGTAGTACAGAAGAGAGGCGACGTACTTTGCTCACGTATTCGAACATCGTCTTGTCCACGACCCACGCATCCAGAAAGGCCATGCTTCAAGCGTCTCGGCGCCAAGATCCAAGTGGGCAGGCGGGAACCGGCGCCTCGTTTTACGAACAAGTGCGACAACTGTGGAACAACTACAAGACCTTTTCGAGGAAGTAGCCTTGACGCAGGTTTAGCTACAGTCGAGTCCCACGTCGACCGATTCGATCGAGCGAGAGAACGGACCACGCCATCGTCCGAGTCGCCAAGGGGGTTCGGTTCGCCCGTCATAGATGCCGATTGTCTAAAATCACCAGATTTGCACAGAATCCACGCACGGCCGTCGGACGAATTCCCGCAATAACAGTCTTCATACACTGCAATGTAGCGACGCGGGAATATCCTCGGGGTTTACGCACGAAAGAGGTCATGTCATGGCCGCGGTGGCTCTGCTCGGTGGAACGTGTGTTGGGTGTTTCAAGCCACGTGTCTTGACCAAGGTGCGGTGAAATCCAATGTTTTCTTGGATTTCAGCCAATCCAGCGCAGTGAGATCCTTGGATTTTGACCAATGGTCTTGCGGTATCAGGGGCCCTCGTGTGGGGTTAGAACAAATTTGCCGACGTGCTCGAGAGGAGGAAAGATCCCCTCGCCGCTAGTCCGTAACAAGCCGCCAAGAGATCCAAGGTACGCGCCATGGCCTCCATATGCATGTGCGCAGGAGTGACTGACCTCTGGGCCTGCGTAGATGAGCAGCACCGGTGCAGGGGTAAGGCGACGCGCCGCCGCCCGACGATCGCTCCTAACTTCCATGTAGTACGACTTGTCCGTCGGGACCTTCTCGCCTGATGGCCGCATCTTCCAAGTCGAGTACGCCAAGAAGGCCGTCGAAAGCAGCGGGTACGTCGGCGAGGAAGCGGTCATGGGTCTCACATCGCGCGCTATGTAGCACCGCCATTGGCATTCACTGCACGGATGGTGTCGTCATGGGCGTCGAGAAGATCTTGCTCTCGAAGATGCTTGTGCCTGGCACGCACCGCCGTGTGCATGCGATCGACCGCCATATTGGCTTGGTATATCAGCGACGGCGCTCTCTGCATGTCGGTATTGAACTTGTATTAGGCCATGGCCGGCCTCGTCGCGGACGGCCGCCAGCTCGTGAACCGCGCGCGCGAAGAAGCGTCGGGCTACAAGAAGAACTATGGCAGCCCGATCCCGCCGCAGGTTCTCGCCGACCGCATGAGCCAGTACGTGCACTACTTTACGCTGTACGGCTCGGTGCGCCCGTTCGGCACGTCGATCATGCTCGCGGGCCGTGACGTCGACACGGGCAAGTGCTACTTGAACGTCATCGAGCCCTCGGGTGTCTCTTACGTACGCGCTACCAATATGCTACATGGACAGAAATCGAGGACACGAATCTTGTAGCGCTTCCGCGGTTGCGCCATGGGCAAGGGCGAGCAGGCCGCCAAGACAGAGATCGAAAAGTACAAGATCTTTGACATGACGTGTCGCGAGGCCATCAAGTACATTGCCAAGATGTACGTCGCCAATGCGGAGGTAGATGGTCGGGTGCTTAGGATCGACCATGTAGCCTGAATGTGCTTCACGACGAAGTCAAGCATCCGTTCGAACTCGAGCTCAGCTGGCTCTGCGAAGAGTCCAAGTGGCAGCACCAGTTGGTCCCGGACAACATCCGCGACGAAGCGACCGCGTGGGCCCTTCAGTCGATCCAGGACGATGAAATGGCCGACGACGACGAGTAAGCATCTACGCGTCGCGCGGCTATATGCTCTGTACTTTCAGCCGTAATCAACTGCAAGTCGATGCATATTGCGTCCTGCATCCAAGGTTCTCGCCTCGGTATCGCAGAGCTGTGGCTGCAGACAAGGGCTCGCACCTGTGCTTTTATGCCTGGCTCCACCCCAACCTGTGGTGCAATTACGCTCTATCGACAGGTATGCCGCCGCCAGATGCCGATCTGCCGCCGAACACGCCTGCAGAACAAGAGATGGATGCAGTCTCATTAGGTGGCTTAGCCGCGATGCGGCTTGGGGAACCACGGCACGAGCATCGACGTCTCGGCCTGGTACTCAGCGTATGGCGCGCCGCGCTTCTTGAGCGACACTTGCTCGGCCATCCACGCGCCGGTGAAGTAGACGAGGTAGTAGTACGCGACACACGGCAGCAACAGCAGCAGTGTCTGCGTCCAAAGGCTGCTTGCGGCGGGCCATGCCATAACAGCGTACGCGATCCAGAGAAGGAATTCGCCAAAGTAGTTGGGATGGCGGCTGTAGCGCCAGAGACCCTCGCGCATGACGCCGCCTTGAAGCTTGCGCTGCTTCCACTGGTCGAGTTGGTGGTCGGCGACGTTTTCGATTAGAAAGCCCAGGACCCAGAGCCCGAGGCCAACGAGTTCGAAGGCTGAGAGCTCAGGCGCCGTATTGGTCGCTGCCACATGCAACGGTACGGACATGAAAACAATGTTGGTCAGCGACTGACAATGGTAAAAGCAAAAGAAGTTGACGGCCATGGAATGCGAGCCAAAGAAGCCGCCGTGCGTGCGCCAGTGGGCCCGCCAATGGTCCCACCGGTGGTCCTCGCGCGTAAGATGCCCACGCAAGACCCAGCCGCACATGAAGCGGACGCCACAAAACACATAGAGCGCCGAGAGAAGCGCGCGATGGACGTGAACGCCGGGGCCGTAGACGTAGTACATGACCGCCATGGCTGTAAAGCCGGACGGCCAGCCAAAGTCGACCATCGATCCGTTCGAGCGCGCCATGTTGATGAGGTACATGAGCGTCATCCACGAGAGCTGGAACGCCACGTTGAGGCCGATCGCGGCCACATCAAAGTCGTCGTCGGTCATTTGCAAACGGCCATTGCCCTTTCTAATTAAGGCGATGTGATTGGCTCCAAAATGAAGCCGAGCTAGCATTTCAGCCAATCCACGCGTGATGACGCGAAGCGCCCCATAACGAAGCAAATTCAGTCATGGGCTGCTCCCCAACGAGGTTCTTCAAGGTTGTACGAGCTATCGATCCCGTTGGTCCTTTCTAGAATTCTAGGGTGCAGACAACAAAAGACGGTATTGAAATACAACAAATTGCGCAGTGGCGTTTCATTTTATGGCGCCTTTTCCAATTCTTCCACATTTGAGCGCGGTATCTTGTCCCGCGCGCGCCGTCCTGCACATGTGGTGGGTCATCCTCTTGGCCATTGCACGCCTCGCGTCCGGAGCAGCGTTTGCTTCATGCTATGACACGCTGCTCGGTTGTGCCGTCTGCAGCACGTTTGCCGAGATCGTGGTCGACAGGCCCGGTGCTCTCATGTCCGCCGAAGCCAACGGGACATCGCCGGCAGCGTGCCTTGCATCGTGCAGCGAGACCCAATGCGACTGCTTGGCTCGGAATGGCACAGTTTTTTGCGGTCGCGTCTCGAGCTTGCGCCCGATGGTGCACCAGGTCGCGCTGCAGCACTCACTGGATGCTGGGACTGTGCTGACAATCGGGATTGGCGACCGACCGAGCGGCACCGCTGTTCTCTCGAGCACCGACGCAAGCAACCTCACCATCACGCTCAGCGCTTCGTTTATCTATGTTGACGCTGCACCGGCGTGGACGGCTGCCCTCTTGGTGCCAGCGCCGCTGCAGGGTCGGACACCGTTGACCGTGACGTTCCGTTCTCACTCGTGGAGGCTGTACGTACTACTCGACAATCGTCGTGAGGCTATAGAGGCACTAGGTCCATGGCCAACGTCCTTCTCGGCGTTTTACCAAGTCCGACCACGCATGTCTACGACCACTTGCTGCACGACACACCGATCACTCTGCGCCAGTCCCCGCCACGTACCGTCGTCGTCCAATGCCACCTCGCAACTGACTTGTCTAGTCGACATCGCTGGACAACGGATCGCCATGCTCGAATCGTCGGCGCCGCGCTGCTCTCGCGCCTGTATCGCGCTGCAAACTTGCTCGGGCTGGAGCTATACGGCACCGACCTGTAGCATGCACCTGCCTCCTACAACCATGACGGTCCCTGCATCTCACAACCTGAGGGCTCCTGTGCCTCACAACTGCCCCTTGCTCGTGGCTCCTCGCATTGCCAACGTCACCGGCGGTGCCTTCCGCCTCGTCCTTCCCCACAACGACATACAACCATGTCTGCGTCTCTCTTGACAAGTGGACCATGACAACTCATGTACTCTATCTGTGATAGATCCGTGTCAGCTAGCACCCATCGGCTACGAGCTGCAGCAGTGGCGTCTCGGGCGCTGGGAGCGGTGCCAGCGGTATACGACCCATACAGCGTCGGCATACATCACACGCGACGCTGTCAACGCCCGACTGCAGCCCAGTACGATGTATACGTGGCGTTTGGTTGCTCACGAAAGTCTGGCGCTCAATACGTCGAGCCACGTCACTTTTGCCGTGCGCACAGCCGTGGCAGGCTGCCCGGCGACGCGCCCTCGGTTGCGCATTCTCCAGGTCTTGGCCAGCGCTGTTCGTCTCCGCGCATTACAGCCATGGGATCTTAACGGGTCCCAACCGCAGGCGCTGCTTGTACAGCTGCAGTCGCCCAATGGCACGGCGCGCGCAGAGACATTTGGTGCGCGTGCGCACGAGATCACGCTGCATCGTCTCGATGCAGAGACGAATTATGTCGTTCAAGGCGCGCTGATGGTGGCAGATTGTGCGGATCGTTGGAGTGTTTCCGTGGCCTTCTCGACGCCGGCACCGGCTTCGCCCAGTGAAGTACTCGGCCTCGCGATCGCGGAATCATCGTCGACCACATTGAATGTGGCATGGCGCGCGCCGCTGAGCTCGGGCGGCGTATTGCTCCACGCCTACGTTGTGCGATGCCGTCTCGTCCACGGAGCATCTAGCGACGAGCCCATCACCAAGCACGTCGGTGTCGACACGATGCAGTTGCCGCTCACCGATCTCTTGGCCAACTCGAGCTACAACATCACCGTGCAAGCTGTCAACCGTGCGCACTTGGCCGCGTCGGCGTCTATCATCGCTTCAACACGGGTGCACGACAGCAGCACCGAAACGGGCGTTGCCAACGTGACATGTCGACCGCGCACCGGCGGCAGTTTGTTCTCGAATGGTCGGCGCCTAAGGACGCGAGTGGCGGCACGTACGTTCTCACGACGCCGACGACGTGCATCGAGCTGCCGTGGACAACGACCTCGATGGTCATCTCGGACAACGTGTCGATCCAAGTCGCCATGACGTTCGCTCTGCAATTCGTGCGCTCTGGTCGCAGTAGTGCTAAGACGATGCTATCGTGCGAGACGGTGGCAGCGACACGCCCAGCGGTCACGTCGGCGCCAACACTGCTCCGTGTATCAGGCGGACGCATCATGGTTGCGATGGCACCGCCCAGAGACACGGGTGGTGTCCCGCTCCTAGCGCATGCCGTCATCGTCCACACAGCCTTGGAAGCGCTGAACCAACGCATGGTTCTGCCACTGGCTTCTACCGTCGCAAAGCTCCCAAACTTGCGGCCCGAGACGACGTACTTGGTGGCGTACCAATCGCAGAACCGCATGGTCGCCGTCTTGTGCCAAGGAAGACATCTCACGTGGCTGATTGTATAGGGTTGGAGTGAGCTCTCGCCGTTCCTTCGGATCACAACGTTGCCGGCAACGACCCCGACGCCACCACGGCATCTTGGTCTACTGGAGGCCCCGTCGCCCAGCAGCGTACATTTGCAATGGGATCGACCAGGAGACACGGGTGGCCACCGTGGTATCCGCTACCTCGTTTTTGTCTTCCATACCACTGGCGCGGGAAACAACCTCGTTCAGACTGTGGAATCCGAAAATACAACCGCAATGATCGGAGGTCTGCAACCCAACACGACATATGATGTCTCTGTGGTTGCTACGGTCCTCTGCGGCGAGGCGTCGCAAACAAGCAAGGCAGTGACGTTTACTACTGCGCCACCTCCGATTTTGCCAACAGTACGACGAGCCGCCGAACGGCCTCCACCCGCACCGATCAACCGCACGTGCGTATGGCACGCCTTGTACACCGTTGACTTTGTTGGCTCTTCCGACGTGGCGGATCTACCAGGGCCGTGCGATGTGCTCGCGCTTGCTGCCGCGGCGAGCGGTGGCGCGCTACGCCTTGTCTGGACACCGCCCGTCACGGTCAACGCACCTATCATTTCGTACGACGTCCTCGTCGTACGCAGCGAAGCCACTCGGCTTTTGTCGGCGCCGGCACCAGCCATCACCGTTGCTGGGTTGCTCCCCAAGACGTCGTATGGCGTTCAAGTCGCAGCCCGGACAGTGGCTGGTCGAGGAGCATGGACGGCGCCAGCAGTGTTTGTGACGTCCGACGTCTCGCCACCGTCGCCACCATCGACATTACACATCGTCAAGACGACAGGAGGTGCAGCTTCGATCCTTGTTGGCGCACCTCTGGACACGGGTGGCGTGCCCCCGACAGAGCTGCTTTACGCCGTCTCTATCGACGCCCGTCGCCTCCGTCGCCAAAGTTACGCCTTTCATGTGCTCAACGCGACGCACGTACGGCTGCAAGTCGGGCTCTTGGCGCCCGGCACAACATATGGTGTCCAGGTGCAAGCGATTTCGCCCAACGTCGGTGGCAGCGCGTGGACACCGACACTTTCAGTGACGACATCGGCATCACGGACCGTTGCTGGCGCCGCGCCTGTCGTGCTACTGGAAGCCACCGGCGGCGCGCTGCACGTAGGCTGGTCAAGCGTCGTGGACGACGGCGGGGCGCCAATTCAAAGCTACACCGTGCTGTTGCGCCGCGCCTATGCTAGCGCGATTGTCGCGATGTGCACAACCACCACGCCAACGGGGTGCTGGGTGCGGGGCCTGGCGCCGTCCACGGACTATCTCGCATCCCTCGTCGTTCGCAATCGCATTGGCAGCTCGACGGAGAGTCCTACTGCGGTCGTTGCGACGACAGCACCGACGCCACCGACGTCGCCCACGCGCCTCTGTGGTACGTTTGACGAGAACGCCGGAGGTGTCCAACTGGTCTGGGCTCCGCCAGTGGACGTCGGCGGCGCCACGAGCGACGACCTCTACTACGTCGTTTCCGTCGACTCGCACCCACCCAGTGTTACAACAGCAACGACGTGGACCCTCCCAAGGAGCAACGTTAGTCGTCTCAACATTTCTGTCGTACGCAAGAAACTCTCTTTACAAACACTTGGTCATGCTGTGCTTAGACGGCGGCGACGGCGTGGGGCAGCGGCGCGCCGGCGATTCTCTTGCTTTTCGGGAAGGATGCGTGTGGTACGCAGCCTGCAGTAGTGTCAAGTGATCCACATCTCAGCTGTCCTGTTTAGTACCGACAAGTATTGATGTGTGGCGAGAGATCAACTGGTCGTTCGCTGCATCATGTCCCACCTGCGAGACTACTTCCGCGTCCCCAAGCCTCGAGTCTCCTCCGTCGCCCCCACTTGTGGCACCCAATCGGCTTTTGGCCGAGACCGCACCAGCGGTCCACCTGATAGTGGTCAATGTGGGTGAAGACGGTCACCTTAACACGACGTTCGCCTACCAGCCAAATGCTTACGCCTCCTGGCTCCTACTGCCAGCGTCGCCTGACGTCTCTGTCCTTCTCCACGTACGAGTTCGTCCATAGCGCTTCGTGTCAAGCTCCGTCTTTAGGTCCGCGTGTTCGAAATAGAGTGCGACAACGATAAGGTCAGCTTCTTTGAGGTGTACCAAAACGGCTCTGAGCAGCTCGTATGGCAAGGCGGCTGTGCTCGACTGCCGTTCACACTGCGTAGCAGTGCACCGGGCCTTGGCCTCCGGATGATTCTAGCGACCGATGACTCGATTCAACTCTCGGGCGTCTATTTGAGATACCATGGTGTACAAGGTGTGTCACTCGACACTTTGACGATCCCGTGTCCGACGTCGTGTGGGCGATATGGCATCTGTCGCGATGACGGCACGTGTGACTGCCGACCGCGCTTTTCTGGCGAAGGATGCACCAACCACGACGTGTGCCCGCACCATCCTGCGTGCTACCGGCCCGACGTCATCGTCGTTGATACGCGCTTTGGCAGCGATGTGCTTGGCACCGGCGGCTTGAAGCGCAACAAGGCCGTCCAGTCACTCACCCGGGCACTCGAGCTCGTGCGACCCAACGGCCTTATCGTCTTGTATCCTGGCACCTACGCGGATGTGCGCACGTGCAACGTCATCTTGGAAAACCACAATGTGACGATCACCTCGTTGGTGTCTCTTGCCTGGTCGGATAGAAATGTGCCTGCCTTTTGGATACCGGACTCTGCCTTGGCGGTGGACGTCGACTGCACGGGCGCACTCGCTTCCTGGCACATTCGCAACGCGTCGAGGGTGGCTCTCTCCAGCCTCCGCCTCATTGGAGGGATTGGCCCCGACGCCCGCCTCCGAGTGACCGACAGTCACGCGGTGCTGTCGCATGTCACAATTCGTGGCGCGGTATCGTCCTCGGTCGGTGGCGGTCTCGCAGCAGCCAACTCGACGCTCTCGTTCCAACATGTTTACGTTGAAGACTGTGTGGCAAAAAGTGGTGGCGGAGTCCACCTCGAATACAGCACCTTGAAGGCAACCGCTTCGGCGATATCCCACAACACGGCAACGTCGGACGGCGGTGGGGTCTCTCTTCACTCTAGTACGCTGCACGGCGCGCAGGTCGCGTTCAACACGGCAGCGCGGTACGGCGGCGGCATCGTTGCCACAGGTGTCGACAATGACCTCTCGGATGGAACCATCTCCAACAACTCGGCCGTCGGCGGCGGCGGCCTCGCCGTGCTGTCGGCTGCCAGCCTCGACATGGAGCGCATTCGAGTTCTTGGCAACACCGCAACCACTGGCGGCGGGCTTCTTCTCTTGTCCATCCAGCGTCTCTCTCTCGGCAACACGACTGTGGCTTTAAACACGGCGATGCAAGGCGGCGGCCTCACGCTGCAGTCCGTGAGCAACGGCTCGTTCAACGTATCGGAACTCGCGCTCTTTGAAAATCACGCAGCAGGTACGCATCCGCGCTTGGTTTTTACTGTCCTCAGATTCGTGCAGATGTAGGCGGAGGTCTCTACGTCCATGCCAGCTCGGTCCTTCTCGACGGACTCGTCATGACCAAGTGCACCTCCAATGGTACTGGCGGTGGTCTCGCTACCCACAGCTCGAACGTCGGGCTTCTCCACACTACGATCGTCAACAACTCGGCGGCGACGTCCGGTGGTGGACTCTTTGCGAACAACTCGACGGTCGTCGGTGACCGCGTCTCCATCCTTTCCAATGTGGCGTCGCTCGGCGGCGGCATATGCGTAGTGGCATCGCAAGTCAAGTCGATGCACGTCCTATCCAACTCTGCCCATCTCGATGGCGGCGGCGTCGCGGCCTCCAATGGCTCGTATCTCGCGGGCCTCGTCGTAGCTGCGAATCGAGCAGCGCAAGACGGTGGTGGTCTCTTTCTCTCGGGCTGGATCTCGATTCAAAACACTTCCGTTTTGGGTAGCTTCGCACAGCGGCGCGGTGGCGGCGCCTTTGTGGGACCCTCCTCTACTGTCATGTGCTCGAGTCTCGCTTTGGATGCCAACATAGCTGATGACGGAGGCGGCGCCTATCTCGACGGTCCCGGCATCACATTGCAAGGCACGTACGCTGCGACGAGCAACCACGCTCGCGTGACTGGCGGTGGCATCACCTGCAGCAAAAGCTGTCAGCTCGATGGACCGACGCTCTCGAGCAACTCGGCCGATGCGCTCGGTGGCGGCGTCTTTTGCGTCAACGGCAGCTGCACGGTTCAAAATGGCAGGATACAAGGCAACCGAGCCATGCGTGGCGGTGGGCTCGGCGCCCAAGACGCCACGGTCAGCTTGGAGCGCTGCAACATCGCGTTCAACACGGCTAATTCCACCGGCGGTGGCATATTTGCTCAAAACAGCGCTGTGCGCCTCTCGGAAACGCGCGTAACTTCTTGCATGGCTACCACGTCGGGGGGTGGCTTGGCCCTGATCCATGCAACTCTTCTCGGCGCAAACGCGTCTGTGCTCAACAACAACACGGCAATGGCTTTGGGCGGGAACCTCGTCTGCACCTCCTGTTCGATCGTCAACTTGGCGATTGAGGACGGCTCGGCTGCTCATGGTGGCGGCGTAGCTGTATTGCAGGGCGATGCTACGACCTTGGTCAACGTGTCTCTTTTCAGAAACGTCGCCCGCCAAACGGGCGGTGGCCTCTACATACAGAATGCGACAGTGCACCACACCGACATGACGATCGTCGACAACCTTGCACCAAGAGGCGCGTCACTTGCACTATCTGGCGCCAGTGCCTTCTTGGGCACCACGACCTCGCTCCTAAATGCAACAACGATATGGACAGCCACTCGACCTCAGAGTGGACACGTGTACGTCGCACCAAACGCCATCGCCGTGGTCTCGGCCGTGTGCATTTCATATGGCGCTGCGCGACATGGCGGAGGGCTCTATATCGACGTCAACAGCTCGTTTGCTGGCGATCGCATTTCCTTGGAGCGGAATGTCGCGGTCGCTGGCGGAGGCATCTACGCTGCGTCAAGCACGCTTGTGGCTCTCATGAATGTTACGCTGCGGGACAACGCGGCAGACGACGGCGGCGCCTTGTATGCAGTTGGCGCGCACCTCTCGTTGCAAGGCGTGGTGATGACGGCCAACCTCGCCAACGTCACTGGCGGCGCCATCGCTCTCTTCAACTCGTCGGGTGCTGCTTCAACCTGCGCCTTCTCCAGCAACACGGCCAGAGGTCATGGTGGAGCCATCGCGCTAAGCGCCGCCTCCCGCTTTGTACTAACGACGACGCACTTGACGGCCAACGCCGGCTCCAACGGCGGTGCCGTCGCCGTCTCCGGCGTCTCGACGTTGACGCTGGTCAACTGCAGCGTCTTTGGCGGAGAGTTGAGCAGTTTTCATGGCGGCCTCGTCCATGCAGATGCATCGACCGTCGTCTTTGAAGGGTCGACACGCCTCGCAAACGGTGCGGCCACTCGCGGCGGGGCCTTGTATCTGGCCAACGCGGCCCGTTTGTATGGTCATGCCGTTCACATTGCATTCAACGTTGCGTCTCGCGACGGCGGTGGCATTTTTGCTACCGGAAACGCCACACGCGTGCAGCTGCAATCCGCGCTGATCGACACCAACCGTACGCTTCATGTGTGTGCATCGCTTCAATTGTGTACACAATTAGGCGCGGGAGTTTGCGGCGGCGGCGTCTACGTTGATGCCGGCGCCTCGTTTCTCATGTCTGCCAACTCGAGTATCCAAAACAGCGTCGCGCGAATGCACGGCGGCGGCATCTATCTCCACGGCGCGTTGGCCAGCGCGGCCGAGCTCTACGATTCGAGTGTCGTTAGGAACGACGCGACGGGGCACGGTGGCGGTACGCACCTTCTTCGTCTTTCGTTGCACGGCCCTGACGGTTTACAGGTATCTTTGTGGGTCACGGGGGCCAGCTCGTTCTGATTGGCACAACTGTGCGACGCAATCGCGGGCGGCGCGGCGGCGGTCTCTTTGCGACCACCGCCAGCGTGACCTGCGTCCACGCCATGTTTGCAAGCAACAGCGCCAACACGGGTGGCGCCATTTTCGTAGATCGCTCGAGCTCGCTGCACAGCCTCGCATCCGACTTTTCGCACAACCTCGCCGAGACGAACGGGGGCGCGCTCGTTTTCGCAGCAAGAAGTGTTGGTATCGTCGTCAACTGTACACTTAAGACCAACGTAGCCGCCTCTGGCAACGGCGGCGCCATCGTGCTCGAGAGTGCAGCACACGTCACGCTGCGTCAGTGCGTCGCCACCGACAACACGTCGCCACGCGGCATGGGCGGGGGGCTCTGTGCCACCAACGGTGCACGCGTCAGCGATACCGGGTCGCTTTGGACTTTGAACGCTGCGAGAGACGGTGCAGCGATCGCGCTCGTGTCGCCGGGGCCCCACGAAAGCATCAATGCCACGCTCTTGAGGAACGCGGCTCGGCGCCAAGGCGGCGGTCTCTACTTGGACCATGGTGCGGAAGTGTCGACGTTTACCTCGCTCGTTTTGCGCAACAACTCGGCGTCGTCGGGCGGCGGTGTCTTTTGGGTGTTGGAGCATCCGTCGTCCGGAGCCCACTTTTTCTGCGACAATTGCACCTTGGACAAGAATGCGCCGACGGACGTCGCGACGTCGGCTGTGTCGGTGGGGCTAAACGCGTGGCCGTCGTCGTTTTTGAGTGGCGTACCGCTCACGGTCGGCGGCAACGCATCGGCGTACGAGGCGTCGGTGCTTCGGCGATCGCCGTTTTCGTGGGCGACGGTACACACCACCGATTACTACGGACATCGAGCTGGCCTCGACAACGCGACGACGTGTACGTTTTCCGCGTCGGCGGCGGGTCTCGCGCTGTCGTCGACGCACGCAATCACGTACACCGCTGTCAACGGCCTCGTCGCCTTTGCAAGTGCCGCCATTCAAGGACCTATCGTCGCGCATCCCGTGCCCGTCTCGGTCGTGGTCGAATGCAGTCGTTTCGGTGCGCAAATGGTGCCTCTGCAAATCGCCATGGTCCTCACACCGTGTGCACCGGGGTACTCGACCGACCCCGCAGGGTACGCATTGTACGTGACATGTCTATGGAGTTTAGCCATTGCATTAGGCGATGTGTCCGGTGTCCGTCGGGGCAATATAGCTTGAACGGCACAACGTGCTTCAACTGTCCTCCCGGGGCGATCTGCTCCGAGTACATTCTGACAACGGGCGCGCCCGCACTTGTTGGTGTTGCCCATCCGCGCACACTGCCCAACTACTACCTTGACCGCGCGCCGGCGAGGCACCGAGAAACGCAGTGTGATCCATTGAGTTGGCCGTTGACAGACCCGTGCCGGGCGTTTGCCCTTGCGTCGAACGACATGGAAGCCGCGTTGACGCAGTGCTTGACGAGTGTCGTGCCGGCGACGTACGTGGCGTCCTGGCCGCCGATGCGGGAGTTCATGTGTCTCTCTGGCCTCGCGTTCTACCCGTGTCAGGTTGTGTCCTTCTTGCTCCTTTCATTCTCATGTTGAAGGGTCTTAGGTCGAGAACGTCTGCCTTGGCAACATCGACAGTCTACTCGGTCATGCGTGCGCCCTTGGCTACGCCGGCTCGTTGTGCGGGCGTTGTGCGTCGGGGTACTCCAACTCGATCTCTGGCACTTGTCAATGTAAGACTTTCTTGTCGCTCAAAGTGCAAGTGGAGACTCGGTGGCACTAGACTGCAACGGCAATTGGACGTCGCTCACATGGCAGAACGCCCTGGTACCGTGTCTCAGTCTCGTGGTAATCGCTTGTTTGATTGGTGCACTTCGGCTCTACCTCATCGTATGTTGTAATGATGGCGTATTCGCAAGCTGCATGCTCTGTGAATAGGATGGCAGCGAAGTGGAGCTCTTGCGCCAAGCCAAGCTTGACCAGCAACTTAAAGCGCGCACCAAGCAGCGTGTCACGTGGTGGGCCGCGGTGCGTTCGAATTGCCATAAAAAGTACCTCGCGTGGCAAGCGCGTCGACGGCCAAAAGCGGCGCCACGCGACGTCTTTGGCATCACGCTCGACACGGACGGCAATCCTGATTACGTGAGCGTCTACCTCGAGAAGGCCAAAATCCTCACGGGGTTTTTCCAAATTTTCGGTAATTTTCGAACCACGTATGCAATTGCGTGGCCGCCCGCCATCAACGACGCGATGGTGATCACGTCCCAGTTTAGTCTGGTACGTTGACGTTGTTAAAATATCGCAAATGATAGGTCGGTAGGATCTCGTCGCGATCGCTGGCATCGACTGCTTCATGCCGTCCACGTCGTTCTACGTGCAGTTCATGTAATGCGTTTCCTACCATGGACGACTTTGGTCCACTTTATATTTTAGTTCGACGCTGGCCGTGCTCGTCTTGATCTTTACGCTTGTTTTCATTTTTTACTACCGTGGCGCGGCCCACTACATTGAAAAGCTCAAGACAATTCCGCGCTGCTGCCCTCGCTGTGGCCTTCCAGTCTGGGACAAGTACGTGCCCGACCAGCGGCGACCGTCCATGCCGCAGCCTCTAAGTGGCAGCCGCCAGAAACGCCGGCGACAGTCACTCGAGCAACGGGCGAGCACCTTGTTGTCGCTGGACGATGTAAGCTCGGCCCACGGAACCATTGCCGCCCGCCGCGTCCTCACAGCACTTCGCGCATTGCTCACGGAGCCTGACCCGCACATGTCGCATGCCCGGCAACTGCAGCGCGAAGCGATCAACATGTCGACGGCCAAGGCGTACACCGGGGCACTGCCCATGTACCGATCAACGCACCGCATGTGTCCGGCCAAACCGCTCACCGCCCACGTCCGATCGCGCGTCCTCCGGAGCAACCTCTGCGTCTGGCAAGCGCGCGTGAAGCTCCGACTGCACTATCAATCGTACCGCATCAAATGCGTCAAAGTGATGCTCGGGTGCGCGCATCTGAAGCGCGTGCGAACTGTGCAACTCACGGTTCGTAGGATTCTCTTGCTTTTGTACCCCATGGTGTCGCGGAACTTTCTGCTCGTGTTCCACTGCGACCAAATCGGGGCGCGCTACTGGCTCGTGAAGGACCGCAGCCTCGAGTGCTACACGACCGAGTGGTCGCTCTACGCCTGCGTCGCGCTCGCGGGCGTCGGCGTCTGGGTCGTCGGCGTCCCGTTTCTCTTTTGGCGCACCGTCTACAAGGCGCGGCACCGGCACATTGGTATGTCAGCATGACATACCCGTTTCTGTCATGCGGCGTAGACACACGCTTAGCGCTGCTCGAGTCACGCGCGTACCGACCGCTGCGCGAAAAGTGGCTCGCAGAGATGCGCACAATGCTGGCGGCCGAAGGACGATGTGTGCCCCTCGCGCTCGGACGCCGCGACGAGATGGCTTACTTGGGCCACTACATGAAGACAAAGAACCTCGAGGTCGAGCACTCGCGTCTCCACTTCAAATCTCAAAAGCATCTAGGACTCTGCGGTGATGGCGCGGCTGGGTCTCATTTACCAGAATTGTACGACAACCATGTGGTCAGCGACTCGCACTACTCGACTCACGATGACTGCATTAGACAAAAGCGAATTCTGGTGGTTTGACGTCTTTGATCTGATTCGGTACGACATTTCCAGACAGCGACGCGCAATCCACTGTTTCGATCTAGAAAAGTGCTGCTGAACGGTGTCCTCGTCTTCCTCCAGGGAAACGAAATCGTCCAGTCGACGTCGGGTCTCGCTCTCTGGTACTATCTGTCTTGAATCACGCTACCGCTCACATGTGCGTCTAGTCTGCTCGCGCTCACCCTCACGCTCCAATGCAAGCCGTACCGGTCCTGGACCGACTCGCTCGTGGCTGGCGTGACCCAATTCCAGCTCTTCATCACACTCTTCCTCGGGTTTCTTCTCCTTATGAACACGGCGTCGACAACGGCGCTCACACCGGTGGCCGCCATCGTCGACGTCGATACCATATCGCTCATGCTCGTGGCGACCAACTTGGCATCCGTCGTCGTCGCAGCCGGTGTCCTACTCCACGACACGATGCGCAACCGCCGCCGCATGCAAAAGGTGCGGGCCGTCCGCCGTGCCGAGCTCATTCAAGCAGCGGTGCGGAAGCTCTGGCGACGCGCGTACAACCACGCTGTGGTGATTGCGTATGCAAATCGGCCGGCGCCGCTCTCCGTTGCACTCCTCATACAGCGCGCCCGGCGTCTACCCCCCTATCAGAACTAGGATTTATCCCGAACAACAACTCGTTTTTCGCGTGTACATCGCGTTATATCGGGGAACCACGGGTGTGTATGTACGAGTAGCTGTAGGTACCGCCCATGGCCGCAACGCAGGGCGCCTAGAGCCGGATCGCCGGCGTCGTGTGCGCCGTGCGTCGGTTGTTGTTGCTGTTGCGGTTGGCTTTCTTTGGGCGACTCTCGGTGGGCTCTTCGCACACTTGGCACGGCAGCGTCCGCCATACAATGGTCCCGCACACCACGTCAAAGCCAACAGCCACCTCGGCGCAAAAGCTGTCTTGGAGCTGGTCCCACTCCGTGTCGGTGACAATCTCGTACAGTGCGCTAGGTGCCGGACATGAGTTCACGAGAACGCCATCCAATGGGCTGTCCGTACTAGGTGATGCCAGGGATCGTCGACAACACCGACGTCGACGCGCCCATGAGGAAGAGCGCGATCGCGTTGGGAACGACGGGTTTGCGGTGGCGGCTGCAGAGGAGCGCGCCGTTCAAAATCGGTCCCGGCAGCTCGTCCACGACGCTCTTGACATATTGTCGCCAGCGCTTGAGCCACGATTGCGGCACCTGGTATATATATGACGATATGTTCCACTTTTGAAACACGTACAATGTAAAAGCGACCGCGCTCGGGGCTCAAAAGGCTTGGCGGGTACCCCGTCTTGCGCATGAGTAGCTCGAAGAGCGAGTCGCGACCCCCGCTCTCCGTGTGTTGCAACAGACGCTGCGACTTCTTCTCTTCGACTTGCATCTGCTCGAGTTTGGCCGTTGTCAAGCATGTATCGCACTCGATCGCGGGGCGGCCCGCGCCAAAGACGCGGTCGGCGTCCGGGTGCACGTACCGCAGCAGCTTGCGCCAGACCATGAGCGGCAGGGAAAGCCGCTTGCCTTGGCCTTTCGAGAGCGAGAGCGGGAGAAGGCCATCGTGGCTGCACGTGATGCTGTCGCTGACGTGGGCGATCTCGCGGTCTTCGAGGAGCTGCATCGCCGCGAGGTCGCTGCGCACCTGCTTCGCCGCCTTGGCGTGCTTCTTGGACAACGGCGGGATCGACGCGAGCTCGCGCAGTCTCGAGACAGCCTTGGGGCCTTGACGAAGAAGCTTCTCGGCGCGGTCACACTGCTTCTTGCTCGTGAGCACAAACGCCTTGGACACGAGCACGGTCACGTGCGCCGACGATGTCCACGCAACCGCTGACAAGTCGACGTCGTCGCTGGCTGTCTCGGCGACACTGGACGCGTGGAGCAGCAGCGACTTGATGAGCTGGAGCTCCACGCAGCGAAGCCATTGGAAGATCGAGATGCGCGGGAGGCGCGCAAAGGCGACGCTCGAGTCCGCGAAGAGGAAGGCGAGCGCCGGCGACTCCTTGGCAAAGATCACGGCGACCGCTTCGACGACGCCGCGGACGTCGCGGCTCGTGTGGCTCAGGCACGCCATCTCCTTGCTCGTCAGGAAGCGGCAAACGCCCAGCCAGCGCTCCATGGTCATGCTCTACGTGAAGGCCGGCTGAAGCGGTGGATCCGAACCACCGAGCCAGACCTTGATCGCAGATGGACCTCGTGATACGAACCTTTATCTTGATCATTTTGGTATATCGTGGGTAATCTCCCTCGCAATACGATCTGTAGATTCATATGTGACCTACATTCCTTGCTTGCGTGAGTGCTGGTGCGACGTCCTCAAGTTCGCATGCCGGCGACCAACGAAGCCCGCAAACACGGAGCTGAAACGAAGCAGAATTGCAGCCTGGATGAGCAGCAAGTGTAGCGGTGTACTGGCTCTTGTAATGGTCACGAAGCTTCTCGCAGATGAACACATTGCACTGTGAGCTCTACGAAATATCTGCCAAGATCCTGGCGCGAACATATCTAATGGGCCAGTATAATATGGCGAAGTCTCCAACGCTGCCAACGCTGCCACGCGCTAACAATTTCAGTTCCTCAACAGCATTTCCACATATTACAGCTAGTTGTCGCTACCGTTTATCAACATGACGTTATGACGGAATTATATGGTTGCTTTCACTCGCTCCAACATAACAGCGATCTGGTAGATCGTTGGCCGATCCTCCGGGTGGAACTGCAGACAGCTCTCACCGAGGACGCGGACCCACGGAGGCCCATGAGGCGTGAACGACGGCTTGATCGTACCGGCCATGACGCGACCAATGATGGCGGGGTCCGCGAGTGGCTTGCCCGTAGTCGGGTTCTTGATATCCGTGTAGGGCAGCTCGTGCGTGTCCATCTCAGAGAGCAGCACACCTATATCACTAATACTAGTACACATTGTGTTGTATAAAGCAGAGGAGACGTACCGAACGAGTAGACGTCGGCAGCGACCGTGTACGCGGTTTCCTGCAGCACCTCGGGCGCCATCCAGCGAAATGTCCCGACACCTATCGTCATGGTGGCTTGTATGTCTTCCTTGGCGATGCCAAAGTCCACAAGCTTGTAGCCCTTCTTCGTATCGAGGAGCACGTTGCGGGACTTGAGGTCGCGGTGGATGATTGAGAGCGAGTGGAGGTACCCGAGACCGTGCACGACCGCCTGGAGACACGTGATTTTGGCCGACCACGGAAACGACGCCGCGTCTTGCCGACTTAAATGGTCACGGAGGTCGCCAGCGTCCATGTACTCCATGACGCACTGCAGATCCATGGGTGTGTTCCACGTCGCGCCCACGAGCGACACGATATATGGGCAGTCAAAACTACATATATATGGATGAGCTGGTGGGGTAAGAGAGAGCTGGCATGGAGTACCTGGCGAGGAGCTGAATCTCACGGATAAAGGTTTGAATCTCGCGATCCGACTGCCACGCACGCTGGAGCTTCTTGACGGCCACGTTCACGCCGTTGTACGAGCCGCGCCACACTTCGGCAAACGCGCCGCGGCCCGCAATCGAGTAGAGGACGACAGACCCCGTGTCGAGGCGACAGCGATAAAGGGGCGAGACGTCGATTGCGCCCGTGTCGTTCGAGCAGTCGGCCGCCGTCGTCGCGACCCATCCAATGAGCGGCGTTGCCTTGACATCAGCGCGTCGGCGTCGCTTAATGCAGTACCAGCCAATGAGCGCAAGACAGAGCACGCCGCCGACGCTGACGCCGACAATGAGTGCTGTGGCTACACAATCCATGTCAAGACGCATGGATCGAAGCGGTCGGTGTACAGTTCGTCGAGGAATTGGAAGTGCCGTTCGACTATTTGCACCGGCGCGGTCGGGACTGTCGTGGCCTTCATCGTGGAGTTGGCGTTGGCCGTGCCCTTGGCAGCCTTGGTCGGGTTTGGGCTCGAGCTTGGGCTCGAGCTTGGGCTCGGGCTCGAGCTTGGGCTCGGGCTTGGGCTTGGGCTTGGGCTTGGGCTCGGGCTTGGGCTTGGGCTTGGGCTCGGGCTTGGGCTTGGGCTTGGGCTCGGGCTTGCGATGACGCGGCTATAGGCACCGAGCAAGAGCTCGAAGCCTTTGGCCATCTCGAGCGTACTCACGGCCGTCGTTTCGACGCCGCCAATCGAGCACGCGGGCGTCAAGTCACCATAGGCCGACTGGAGCGACTTGTAGAGCTCTTGGCAGTCGGTGCTCGCGAGGATCGTCTTGACGACTTGCTCGTCCCATGGCATGCCATTTCCGATGAAGACGTTCCCAATGTGGAAGTCGGCGGCCGTGCTGCAGGCCGCAGACCGCGCCGAGAAAAAGATGGGAATGATTATTTCCAGCGACGCCCGGTCGCACGGGGGCGACGCAGCGGCAGCTGCAGCCATGGCAAGTACAAGGGAGGGCTTCATGGTCGCCGGTAGGCAAGGGAATAAACACCAACTACTACCGGGAGTACACCAATACTGTGGTATAATACGGTACTAGTGTAGTATTACAATATATTCCCCTTGTAGGTGGAAGTAGTTCGTCTCGATAGCCATTTCATTGCCTACCCGTAGTACTGTACATAGGTCCCTCTGTGGGGCCTTTCTACCGCTCCATTTGTTTCCTCAACTATGAGTTCTCTATGTGGCGAGCTGGAATGTCGACTCACTGCCCATCACTTTGACACTCGGTTTTGCACGCGTCGATTAGCCTTCGGCGATGACGTTAGACACTCGAGCAGATCGGTCGCCCACTCTCAGGGCTCGGCCGCACGACGCCAAGGTTACTGCAAGTCCGTCGCTCGCAGACCCAGATTCGTGCTCCGAGACAGGCACAGCCACGCTCTGCCACCAGTCTCGGCTTCCTCCGGTATCCTATACCTTTATACACCCGGTATACACCTATCCGATAGCGTGATCCGTGTGGATCTGGATTAAAAATGAGCGGAGCCCGGCAGAAAAATGAGCGAGGCCCAAAACGACGGGAAGGGCCATTTCCAAGCAGTGGAAGAGGTTTTCCGCGCAAGGACGAGCGATCGAGAAGACCAGTTACAAGTTCGAACAAAAGCCAAGACCCAGGCGCAGAGCAAGCGAGCTCAAGCCATTTCCAAACTGGTACGTAGTGTCCGTCAAATAACTAACCCGCCTTGCCCACCACAGGCATGGCGGGCACCAGTTGCCCCCAAGTAGTTCGGTCTTGATTGCGGAAATGAGCGAAATTGCCCGTAATTCCCCATCCCCTTTCCCTGGGAGAGCCTTTGGGGGCCCAGCTCGGGTTAAATTAGACGACGAGTTTGCACTTCGTGCCATCCCGCAGTCGATTTAACCCTTGACTCGCATCGCGTCCGCTCATTTTTCTGCCGGGCTCCGCCCCTTATACTTTTTTTCTGGTTAGTGTGTCGATAGCCTGGTCAGGTCACTTCCTCTTTTGGTGTCCCGACCACAACTCTTCTCGTGTCTGGCATCGCAACTGGTATCATGGATGATGCATGGTACTTCACACTGAAACCTTCGGCGACAAACCAAGTACCGAGTGCTACTTCTTTACACCGTCAACTAAATGGGCGGCGGTCCGAGTTCGCTCGGTTCGTCAAGGTCGGGCGTGGGCTCACTTAAAATCAACCAAACACTTTGAGCTAAATTCCTTTTGTAAAGATAGCGTCGACGTTCGTCGGTAGCGCGTGGGCGTCCTGGAGGATCTGGTAAAAGCCATCCGCGTCGTCTTCGCTCGCCTTGCGCTCGAGACGCAGCTGGGCTTTGCGGAGAAATTGAAAGAATTTGACTTCGGGTGCCGAAAAGTCGGGGTGCCACACGTCCAGGACGAGCACGAGCCGGCTCTGGCTCGCGTGGTCGTTCCACGCCTCGTGCTCAAACGAGTCGTCAAACACAAAGCACTCACCTTCCTTGACGACAATGACATCGTCGCCGACGCGGAGGCGACACGCGTCGCCACTCGGCACAACGAGCGGCAAGTGCACGCGCAGTTTCTTGTTGGTGGGGCCGTGGTGCTTGGTGATGTGCGTCTTGGGTGCCAGTGCGGAGAAGAAGGCGTGCTCGTACTGGTGCGGAATACTCTGGAGAAGCGCGGTCGTGATCGGGCACCGCGCCCGCTGCGCCGCGTAGTCGACGTCATGGAGGAACAAATAGTAGACGTTCCAGTCGCCAGCATCGTGGCTAACGCTTCCGATACCGTCCGCAGCCTACATGACTTGTGAGTTGCACCATTCGAAGAGGCAGCGCGCACCGGTCGAACGCCCGCCCACGTCGGCGCGCGGTATGGCTGAAAGCCCGTCGGGTCGTTCTTCAAGTCGAGAAGCTCTTTTCGAATAAGCGGAAACGCAGCTTCGAGGGTTTTGATCCAAGTAAACATGTCATGGTTCCGCCACACGGGCTGCGCCCGCAAGCCAGGCAGCACGTTTGGGCAGCCGCGCTGCCACGGCAACATGTTGCTTGGGTGGCGCTGGTGGTTGAGCTGCATAAGTGCCCACTTGCGCAAGCGACTGAGGTTCCCCGTGCTGTCGATTGCGGCCTTGGTGAGCCATAGATAGGCGATGTTTTCGCCGAGCGGTGTGAGGCCCCAGGCCCGCGTGAGCTCGTGGAGGCGCGCCTCGAGGTCGGCCTTGTCGGCAATGGCCCCGTGCACGATGGTGCTTGCATCGCACGTCGTCTCGGCAGAGCTCATGCTGTCGGCTTTGTTGCTGCTCGGTCCTTGCATGCCACCAAATCTTTCGAAGCGACATTGGATTCCAGATCCAAATTCCGTATTCTTCGATTTGTTCGCATTTCGAAGCACATTGCAAATACAAAATCGGTGTTCAAACATTCATTCTCCACGCGAAAGGCAGCGTGCAAGTCGCCCGTCAAAATGCTTGAAGCAAGACCAGACGCAAAAGTTTTCATGCAGCACGGAAGCAGTAGCCGTATGCACTAATACTATATATATATTGATGGACAATAGTTTGCGTCAACCAGAGGTCTACAGTCCAATATGCCACGCTGGCCGTCCTTTCTACTGCGTGTGCACAATGGGTGACGCCTTGGCCACGACAAAATCTTGGATCGACCGCAGCTGCACAATGGCATCCTCGAGCTCTGCGACGCTGTTGGCGTTCGTTGGAAGAGTGCGAAAGCCAAAGACCGAGACTTGCTTGAGCTTGAAAATCGCGCCAAGGGCAGCGGAGGTGAGCGGGACGACACAGATCGGGACGTTGAGCTGAATGGCCATGACCGCCACGTGGCTGCACATACCAAGCACCGAGGCGTCTGAGGACATGACGACAACACGTGCGTGGCGGTGCTCGAGGAGCCGCGAGACTTCGTTGACACCAAGGGCCATTGGCCGCAGCGGCTTGAGGAGCGACTTGGTCGGCTCGTTCAGAACAAGCGCGCCGGCCTCTTTGGCCACACGGTCCACAAGAATCTCTGCTTCCTCCTTTTCCATGGGCGTGAACGGGAGGAAGAGGTCGCGCGGCCGAGCATGGACCTTCTCTTGCTGCGCGCGGGCTCGGAGCGTCGCCATCGTGAACAATCAACCTCTGCGCCAATCACTTTGCACTTCCGGATACAGTCACAAAATATCCGTACTGCGATCTTAGCGGTCTTGCCGCCACGACCTCGCGACACTAGTTGTTGTTGAAGTGGGTCTTCTATTACAAATAGATATAAACTATGCTAAATAAAAATGTTGAACATTTTTCGTTGTGTGTACTCGGTTGAGGGACTTGATTTAGGCAGGCGGAGGCAAGAGTGCGATCCGCGGGACGAGGTGACGTCGCGGCCACTCGTGTCCTCGCGACATTAGTAGAGTTGAAGCTTGGTTGCCAAGTCGCGACTCGATTAATCCATTGGTATATACATGTCGCTGACAAGCTGATGCCACCGGCATTGATGCTGAATGCTTCTAATATGGGCTCGTAATTCAGCCGAGGTTTGATTGCGGGATGCGGCTTTGTGAAGTCATTAGCTATGACATCGTCTGGCGTCCGTGCGACTCGATTCGTGTGCTGACGACTCGTATACCAGTAACTCGATCACCAAGGTGAGCACGGCCCTCATAAGTAATCGAACACGAGTACACGGAACCTTTGGCAAGCGAGCGGTTCTCGCAACGTTGCGGTCTATATTTTGATGCGTTCCAAATTAGCGCCACTTGACAGTTGACGCCCAACGGCCGACCGCCATGGTCCTCGTGCTCCAAGCGATTCTGGTCGGCGTCTTTATTGGCGTCGTTGTCGCGGGCTGCATCGCGTACATCGTATCCCGCCATTGCCGCAGCCAAGCCGCCGTGGCCGACGTCTACTTTGCGTATCCCTCGAGAGCGCAGCCCGTGTTGGCGACCATCTACCGCGGCGGTTGCAGCATCTTTTACATCGTCATCTTGCTCCTCGAGCTCATCGAAAATGGGTTCTCGATCTACAAGTACTATACGATCTGGAACTTCACGCTGCAGCTCATCTACTTTGTCTGGGCGACGACGTTCTCGCTGCGGCTCGCGATGCTGCCAGCCAAGGCGCCGATTCGCGTGACGCCCGAGCTCCGAGCACTCAACACCCTCTTTGGCTGGATCCTCCCCGTGAGCTTTGTTGTCCTTATTGTCTTTTGGGCACTGCTTTACGGGCCTGGCTATGACCTTTCGACGTACTCGGTCGCCGAGCACGCCGTCAACAATATACTCTTGGTGCTCGAGTTTGTTGCCAACGACTTTTACGTCGGCAAAGCCAGCATCGTGTATGCGTGTCTGCTCTGGCCAGCGCTCTACGCGGCGTGGGCGTGCCTCTCATACGCCACGTGGCTCGGGTCGTGGCCGTACAAGTTTTTGGACCTCGACAAGAACAGCGCGATTGGCTGGTACATTGGTGTGCTCCTCGGCCACTTTATCCTTTTTGGCGCCGCGTACCTTCTCGGCGTGCTCAAGCGCAAGCTCAAGCCGTCGCTCGTGACGACGCCGCCCATTCTGGCCGAACCACTGCCCGTCAGCAGCAGGGACCTCGACTCGATTCAAATCGCGCCGTGACAAAGCAAAGTGCCGTAGGACATTGCTTCAGCACGATAAAGTATACAACTTATAGAACCATGCTCCTCCAAGCACAATGAACCTGTCTGCACGCTATCACAGGAAGGTTGCTCCACTGACAACGGTGCAGCGCGTGCGCCCGTTCTACTGGTGCTATCTCTAGCACGGTCTTGCTACTTGCATCGCCAAAAAAGCAAGTATTGTGCGCGACTTGACGCTGTAATCGTGGCACTTGATTTCAATTGATTTTCAAGGTTGTACGTAACCGGTTCCATCCGTGAGCCGTTTACATCCGGTTATCGTGGCGCAAACGCCGGATACGCCAGTTTGCACCATGGCTCTGAAGCACGACGACGCGGCCGTCGTCGACGCGCCGGCCATTGACGTCGCCCGCGACCGGTTCCCGTTCTGCATCGTGTGGTCGCCGCTGCCGGTCATCACGTGGTTCCTCCCGTTCATCGGGCACATGGGCATCGGTGACTCGCACGGCGTCATTTACGACTTTGCCGGCCCGTACCACATTGGCGAAGACCACTTTGCCTTCGGGCGGCCGACGCGGTACCTTCGCCTCTCGCTGCCCGAGAGCCTCTCGGCCGACGACTGGGACGACGGCGTCCGCGCCGGCTGCGCCATCTACCGCAAGCGCATGCACAACATTTGCTGCGACAACTGCCACTCGCACGTTGCGCGCTGCTTGGAGTCGATGGGCTTTCCGCGCCCATCCGGCGGCTGGAACATGATCTACCTCTGCTTCTACATGCTGTGTTGCGGCTCGTTTGTCAACGCCAAGGGCGCACTGCTCACATGGGGGCCATTCCTTGCCCTTGTCGCTATCGCGATTCTATGGCACGTCGTCGCTTGAGCGCTTTACAGTATACGGCGTTGTTATAACTCAGTTCAACAACAGCGTATGGCGTTGTCTGTTGACGCTGTGCTGCCGCTGCGAGAGATGCTTCTACGGGTGAAAGAGACGGGTAAGACTATAACATCGAGAAGCTTTTCAGATGAGCACCGTTCCTGAGCTTGCCGTCTGCAGAGTAGCGTTGTACCAAAGTGAAATCGTTGGTGTTTAGGCTGTAGGGTCCAACTCGACTGGAAACAGCAATAGCAGAGTAAGCAAGAGTGTATTGCTTCCATTATGCCAATCGAACCTCACCGAAGCGTTGTGCAAAGCAGCGATGTCTACTCGCTGTACGACGCGACGGCACGCAGCTCTGGTGCGCGTTCGTGCAAAACGTGCCCGACGGCTTCTCCGTTCACTTCAATAATGCTCGAGAGCCCTGCTGCCTCCAACAATGCGACCATGTCCTCGGGCGGGCCATCGACGTGCACTTGGCCGGCCACCGGCGCGAGCGCGGCCACAGATTGAAGCGCGGCGAGGTCCGGTGCGTGGGCGAGGACGCTCAGCAGCCGCGTCCGGCCGTCGCAAACCGGGTGCTGGAAGACCACGCACGTCGTGCACAGTGCCGCCCAGAGCGGCGGTACGGCAACTTGGGCTGGGTCGCACGTGGCAAAGTCGAGCGAGACAAAGGCGGGGCGCTCCGTCGAGGTCGGGGCTCGCCACAACGACAAGCGCGGGTCCATGGGCGCCACGCGCTCCTTGAGGATTGGCTCCAGAATCGCCACGACTGACTCGACCGGGTCGCCGAGGCGCATCGTCGTCGGCGCCCCGAGCATGCACGCCGGGTCCATTATGCGCCCGTACGCGTCCAAGTAGTCGCGCGAGCCGGCGTGCTCAATGAAGGCGCGCTCGTCCAGGTACACCTCGGTGAACTCGACCCAGACCGGCGACCGCTGCAGCGATTCCGGCAACGGCGCGTGCGGGGACAAGTCCAAGTGATCCATGTCGAGCCCGTATTTGCGCAAGTCGGCCTCGACGGCGGCGCGATGGACGCCGACCTGCAGCTTCTTGACGGCGCCGCTCAGCCACGGGTGCTCGCCGGCCGTCAAGGCCACGGGAGTGGGCGGGAACATGGGCGAGAGGCGGAAAAAGTAGGTTGGCACGCACGGCGTGTCGCGGTGCGTGGCGCGGGCGCAGGCAGCGAGGGCGGCGAGGAGCCGCCGGGCTGCGTCGAGGTCGGGAGCGCGCCAAAACACGTGGAGAAGGAACGCCTCGCCGTCGTAGTGCTCAGTGGCGCCTTTGGGAGCAGCAAGGAGCGCGGACATGGACGCCGGAGCTTTGTAGGTGCGCGTTGTCATTGTGTGCAAGGCAAGATCCAAAATGACGTCCTTGGTGTCGCGTGGCAGCGCCATGATGACGCCCCTGACAGACGCCCCAATCGGAGTGACCATCATTCTGCTGCATGGTGATTGGCTACCAGATCTGCCGCATGGTGATCGGCTTCCATATCTGCATGCTGATTGGCTATAATGGAAGCCCAGCACCACAACTGTCCTTGACCTCCTTCCCTGCTGCAGCCCCTTGTCTATCGCGATGCACTTTAGTAATGAAGCAAAGCAGCTCCGCCAGGATTCGAACCAAGCACTCTGGTGTGATCCAAGGAGAAAACCAAGTCGACCAACACATTTTGAGCTACCCCAGCGATGGCACTCGACCTCTAGGACCTCGCATCGCTCTGAGCCATTTCGGACTCATTTCAAAGACGTTGTGCAGTTGTATATTCACAGTGAGTTACTTTCGGCGGGGACTCACGTCGGCTTCGTCCGCAATGTCTTCGTCGAGCTCTTCGTCCTCGTCGGCGTTCTTGCCACCGTCGTCGCCGCCCTTGGCTTCCAAACGGCTCTTGGTCTGGAGCGGCACGTCGTTGAGGATCTTACTCGATACGTATCCCTTGAGCGGGATGTTGCGGCTGCGCATCGCATCCAGTAGCTCTGCGACCTGGTCCTTGTCGCCGCTCGCGTACGCGTGCTGCACCAGCAGCCCAAACGCGTCGCCGAGCCGGACGGCCGAGTCGACGTCCGGCTCTTCCAGCAGCACGTGGACGAGGCGCACCATTTCGGCCGGGTCCGCCTTGGCCGCGCTCTGCGCATCGGCGAACGCCGCCATGAGCTGCCCGCGGCGCTCCAGCTGTGCAAGTCGCTTTTCCTTTCCGGCGCTTGTGGCTTTGGCCAGCGCTTTGGCGGCTTCCGCAAGGTACGACTGCGCTTTTGTATAGTCCTTGGCGTCGTCAATCTCGACGTTGGCGTTGGCTTCGTAAAAGCCCGCGAGCGCCTCGAACGCCTTAGCTTTGGTGTAAAAGCCCACAATGTTCTTGGCCAAATCCGAGTCCTTGGCCCAATTGAGCGTCTGGAGGTAGTTGGCCGCAAGCACATAAATGTCGTTGTTGCGCGAGACGTTGGCGAAGAAGACGACCTTCTCCGTGTCGCCCGACTTGAGAAGACACTTCATCGCCTTCAATTTCGCGCCGGCTTGGGTGTACTTCTTTGTCGCTAAATGGTACGAGCCTTGGTGCTTGCAGCACTTGGCGATCTTCATCAAGAGCTCGTTTCGGCGCTTCGTGCCGGCCGGATCGTCGTCGGGCTTGGGCGGCGTGAGCTTCTCGGCCATCTCCTCTGTGATCTTGACCTTGTGCGCGACGCACATGTCGAGTGCGTCCGGCACGCGCTGCGCCAAGATGAGCAGCGGCACCGCCTTGGCGTGCTGTCCATTTTGCGCGAAAAAGTCGGCGCACTTGCTTAAGATCGCAGGCGACGTGCCCGTCGTGGCGCCGAGCTCATCTGCGATCGTGTGCAGCTCGTCGAAGAGCGACGCTTGGAAGCAGAGCTCGAGCGCCTTGGCCACATACCCGCCCTTGTGGTACAGCGCGACAGCCTTTTCGTGCTCCCCTTTGGCTTCAAAGTACTGCGCACACTCGAGCATCGGACCCGGCTTGCTCAGGAGTGCGTACTGCATGAGGTCGCCGTCGAGGTTGTGCTCGCGGCTGAGCCGAATCGCGTGGCCGTAGCTGCCACTGAGCGCGTAGAACTGGATCGCTTTGCCGACTTCGTCGTGGGCCTCGAATTGGCGCGCGAGGTGGTACGCGGCCGCGCGGTTGTTGGTGTTGGCGACGATTTGGCCGGCCGCGTCAAAGTCTTTTTTGAAGCAGAGCACGCGCACGAGCGAGAGATAGTCTTTCGCGCGGCGATAGCAGACGGCGGCGGCATCGAACTCGTGGTTCGACTCTTGGTACTGCGCCCACCAGAGGAGAAGCGCCGGGTCGTCCGTCTTGCTCGCATACGTGTCGAGCATCTCGAGCTTCCCGAGGCCAAAGAGCATGCGCGGAATGTCTTTGGCGGCGGTGCCTGCGAGCTCAAAGTGCCGCATCGCGTCCTTGAGGTTGCCTTCGTCCTCGAGGTGCTTGGCGTACGCGAAGTGCGTGCTCTTGAGGTGGATCCGGTCGCGCTTATTCGCGACTTCAATCGCTTTCGACCAAAACCCCGCGGCTTGGTACAGCTTGTTGAGCAAATCGAACCGGTTCGACTCCTTGTATAGCCGCGCCGCGTCGTCGAGGAGCCCGAGTTGGATGGCCACCATGGCAATGGGCACTTCCACCGGCGCCATTGGGCGGGCCGCCGCATCGACCGCCGCTGCACCTCGCGCATGGCCCATGTGGCCGAGGCACACTTGCGCGACATCGAGGCGCTTGGTCTTCACGCACATGTGCGCCATGTTCTCCCACACGGACGCGTTCTGGATGAGCTTGACCGACCGGTACGCTTCGTCCATGTTGCCGACCGTCATGAAGTACGAAAAGTCGATGAGCGCTTGGCGCGTCGGCTCGTCGACACGGTCGAGGCCCACGAAATCGCGCATGATCCTGGACCGAAGCAGCGCGACCGGTCCATCCGCGTCTTTCGCATCGCGGCTATCTTGGTTGGAGCTCAAGTAGAGACGTGGCACGTGCATGCCGAGCAGCGCCGAGTACTTGGCGTCCAAATCAAAGTTGTCTTGCATCAAGAGCCCGCGCTCGTTGGACGCAAAGAGGATCAAAATCTCTTTTTCCGCCGAGGACGGTAGGCGTGTTGCGTCCGCGCCGCCGTCGCCATCGTTCTTGGCTGGCGCCACGTCGTCCCTCGAGCTTATGGGCTTGGCACTCTGCTCGTCGAGCTTGGCCTACATGACATACTTTATTTGTCGACACAAATAAGAAGCGTACGTGAAAGGTCTCGCACGCCAAGAGCCGCGGTTCCTGCGGGTCCCAAAAGTGGGCCACGGGATAGCGCACCGGCCCGCAGTCGAACGACTGAAAGACGTTCAGGTCCGTATTGAAGAGGTACACTTTGGTGTGCGGAATGCGGACACGTAAGGTGCCTTCGACACCGTCGACCAAGAAGATGACGCGCGTACCGTCGCAGTTGACGCTCAGCGAGTGCAGCATGGAATTTTCACTCATGCCCGGGAGGCCCTTCTACGTTCCGCACCATAAGAACCATAGCTTTCAACTCTTATAAAAGCAATCGATACCATCATGTTGCCCATGCTGCCGAACGCATCGAGGTTTTTCCGCGAGAGGTCAAAGACGCGGATGAGACCCGTGTCGGTGCCGACGGCAAGAAACTTGTTGTTGACATGGAGCAGAGTCGGCTTGCCCTCGGCCCCAGTAAAGTTGAGCTCTTTCTTGATCACGCCCTTGGCGTTGGTTACGTGCACGTGGTTGCCGTTCGTCAAGTAGACGGTGTCGCCGCGCAGCTGCATGGCACTCGCATTGCACTTGAACTTCCCCGCAGACTTGCCTTCGAGGCCATTCTGGAGCTCAAAAACCTCGGCGTCCGAGCCGTTCCAGACCATGATCGTGTTGCCGTCGTGGGCCAGACCCTTGATGTGAATCGACGCTTCCAGCGACGCTTGGAGCACCGTGCCATTCGAGAACTTTTCGATCGAGAGCCCCTTTGGTCGGGTCTGGATCACGGCCGTGTCGCCGCTCACGCACCGGTTCATGATGGCTTCGTGAAAGATGCTGACGCCGGCAAGCGGGGCGTGGCCGTAAACGTACGATGAGAGCGGACTCCATCCGAGCTTGACCACCGGCTGACGCATGTCGGCGTGCGCGAGCAGCGCCCACTGCGTGGCTTTGGGGCCGTTGCAGCGCCAGAAGACCACTTTGCCTTCATTCGTACCGGCCGCGAGAATGCGCTTGCGTGGGTTAAAGTCCAGCGCGCTCACACGGTCCGTCGGTGGCAAGCCCGCGCTCGCGAGACTCAGAACAAAGTTTTCTTCTTTCTGGAGATCGCAAAAGCGAATGACTTGCTCGTTGGACGCCGTCGCCAAGAGACCTAATCCTTGGTATGAACAGCAGGTTCCGTTAGTGTGTGGGTACCGGGGCCGGCCCAAATGGCCTCCTTGAGCCCCGTATCGGCCGAGACACTCAGCTTGCCCTTCATGACGGGCTTGACCGTGCCGTCCGAGGCGATCTGGAGCTGCACGAGCTGCGACGTGCGGGTAATCACCACAAGTCTACGTCAACTCGATACATTGATACTCGGAAATGATATCGTACCGGTGCTTTTCTTCGTAAAACATCATGCAGTCGATCGCGTGGCTAAGCATTTGGACGTCCGAGATGTGACCTAAATCGTCGGCGTAGTGCACCGAGCCAATGTCGCCGCCAAAAAAGAAAGACGGGCACGCGGCCGTCGCCGAGAAGGACACGTCGCTAGCCAGAGCGTCACCACGTCGTCAGCTCGAGGCATGTGGTACCCTTTGGCCTCCTTCTCGCGCTTCTGCGGCGAAACACAAAAGACACACTGCGTCAAGCTGCCTTGGCGCGTGTACTGCGTCGCGAGCGTCATTTGGCTGCGCGCGTCGACCTTCCAGACGGCGAGGATACCATTCTCATCGCCCGTGACGAGGCGATTGCCGAACGGCGCCCATTTGAGCAGCGTGAGGCGGGTCGTGTGCGGTGAGTTGACTTCACGCGCTGCGTTCTCCTTTGGGACCCAGAGCGACACCATGCCTAGTAGGTAAATATGATCAATGCACCGAGGACGATGCGGCGAGAACGCACCATCGCCCCACGCGACGGCGAGGGCCGTGCCCCGCGGCTGCCACGCGATGGACATGATGTCGGCCTTGCGCAAATGGACGGTTGCTGGGAGCTTTTTGCCCTGCGTCACGCGCTGAGTCCATTGCATCCATATGTGACGGCCTCGGATACCTCATCGCTGAAAAAGTGAACCTCGCGGTTGTCGAGCGCGACGGCCAAGATGGACTCGCTCTCGCTCCACGCCGAGCAGAGCTGTCGCGTGTTGGGAGGCAGCTCCACCAAGTAATCGTAGAACAGCGCCATCCAAGAAGAATGCGTCGCTTCGAGCTCTGCAAGATCGCGTTGCGATCCAGATCTTTGACGTGGGTTCAGCACGTCTGTCTAAAACCACCCAACTGCACTCTGGCCTTTCCGTGGATTGCACCAGGCATATGAACAGCGTGCTGCTATTGCATACTGTAGGTTATCGGACGTCTTTGGGTGCTAGCGTCACGCGGCCCGCCACGCCGATCGCACCCGCCTGACGCTGGCACAGAGCCACGTCGGCAATCGTCATGTCGACGCGGCTAAGGTTGACGCGGAGGCGCGAACCAGGCAGCGCGCACACGATCTTCTGCGCACCCGCCGTCGTCACGAGCGTGTTGGAAACGTCGAGCTGCGTGAGCGTGTGGATGCCTGCACGCACGAGCGCGTCGAGGCCGTCGTCGCCGAGTCGGTTGAGCTTGAGCATCAAGTGCGTGAGCGTCGATGGGAGGCCACTCGCGAGCGCAGTCGCCCCGCGTTGCCAATAAAGTTCATCGAGACGTCGAGGCACCGCAGACGCGGCATGTGGCGCAGACTGGCGGCGACCCAGTGGCAGCCTTCGTCCATCAGAAACGTCGAGGCGAGCATAAGGTGCGTGAGACTACCGAGGCGTTCGAGGCGCGGCGCGAGCAGTCGCATCCCCATGACGCCAAGGTAGTTGTTGGAGAGGCGAAGGGTCTCGAGCTGCGGCGCGCCGTCCAGAGCGAGGCTGAGATTGGGCATGTCGGCAGCCTTGAGCCCTGTGCAGTGGAGCTCGAGCCGACGAAGTCCTCGCGGCATAGGTGCGCCGTTTAAGAGGATCGCGCACATTTCGGGCGCGCTCGTGATGAGAAGAGCCTCGAGGCTCTGTGCGTGCTGCAATGCCTTGGGAAAGACGCCAGACAGCGGTGCCACACCAGCGATCTCGAGCTCTCGAGCGCTTCGCGTCGTGACCCACGTCGCCAGCTGCACTTCGTCCGCAGCTGTCAGTCGCATGGGCTGGTGCAGCAAATGCGTGTACCCGAGTGTAAAGTGCGTGAGCTTGGGAAGTGCTTCTAGCACGGGCACAGCGTTCGCTGGTGATGTCCACGCGAGCTTCAAGTGCGTGAGGTGGTGGCACTGGCGGAGCGCGGCCGCGGCCGCGACGACTTTGGTGGGTGAAAAGCTCTGGAGGTTCAAGTAGCTCGACGTAAGGTGCGTCGCAAACGTCTGCAGCGCCACGAGATGGTAGTTGCTCGGTGCTTCGGTATCGTACACGAGTATCCGCGTGCTCGGCAGCGCGGCGGCCGCGACCATCGCCGTCAGTCCGAGGTCGTAGACTTTGACGCTGCGGTAGAGCCCGATGCTGCCGCGCACGAGAGGTGCGAGTACCGACGTTGGCAGCTCCGACTTGCGCAAGCACAAGTCAGGCCAGACGTCGTGGGGCGGTAGAAGCGTCACGAGCTCGCGCAGGCACACGAGACCCAGGCTCAGTGTCGGACATGCGTGCAAAAGCGCAGCCACCTGCGCTGGCTCCGGCACGAACGAGGCAACCGTGAGCAGTGGCCCGCTGTCGAGGCGCTCGAGCATCGGTCGTGAAAGAGTGTCCCGATGTCTGGAGAATAAACGACGTTGCGTCCTTGTCGGTTGAACGCGGTGCGAGAAAGGAACGTTGGCGCACGACGTGCGACTGCATTAAGATCGGGATCTCCGCCAACTGAAAAGTACGCCACGACAACGCACAAAACATACAGGTGAGCTGCAATTGGGAGCGACACCCTGGCCGAGAGTGACATGATCACGACCTCGCCTGACCGCATGCTTGCATACCATTATTACACTGTAGTGCAGTGGCCTCGGGAACGCTTACGTAGGCTAGAGAAGGGACAGGCCGGCCGTCGTCGTCTGCCTCGCATGGATATATTGGGCTAATACGGTACCCGGACGCACCGAAAATCAGACGCTTGTACTAGTACCAACGATTAAGAGCCCACCGATGACGAGTCGCGGGGCGTCGGCTCGATCCTCGTAAAGGCATGGTTGTCCAGAAGCACTCGGGCGGCGGCTCGATCCTCGCGTTGAAGGCCTATTTCTTTCCGCTGTTTTTGTTTCGCCGCGGTGCGTTTCGTCATGACCGATGCCGAGTCGATCCTCGCGTATCTCGACCGTCTTCTCTTGTCAGCGTATGCGACGCCGTACTTGACGTGCGGGCAATGCAACAGCCTCAACTTTATCGACGTCGCGCAAATCCAAGGCATCCGCAACGACGTTCGGCGCTCGGGCGAGTACGAGCGCCTCGTGCCGTGTGTCGGCTGCGGGCGCACGATCTTTCTGCGCCCGGGCGTCGCCAGCTTGGCCGCCGAGATCGAGCACAAGACGCTGCAAGACGACAGCCACGAAAAGAAGCGCGCGCCCGCGGCCATCCACATTCAGGTCCGGTTGGCATGCGGCTCAGATCTGAGCACAACGCATGTAATAGCGCGTCGCGCGTGGGTACCTCGGGCGAATGGAGGCCAAGGCGCGGCGTCAGGCCAAGCTCGAGTGGGAGCGCAAGATTTTTTGCGCGGCCGCATGCATCCAGCGGCGCATCCGAGGCGTCGAGGCCCGGACCCGGTACCGCATCGAGCAATGCATTGCCGTCATCCTTGTAAGACCATGCCATCCGCCTTTCCGACAGCTTTCGTTTTCTGTGCGATTAGAACGCGCACAAGTCGGTGTACGCGTTTGCAACGACCAACCAGCCCAACGCGCCGCGGATCTTTTGGTACGAAAGCGCCGCCGAGCTCGCGGTCTTCCGCACCGACTACCGCGAGTTTGTGCGCCGGACGGGCAACCGGCCGCCGCTGCACCGCGTCGAGGCCAACGTCCAAGAGGTCGCACGGCGCGTCTTGGCGCGTGAGAACCGCCTCGTCGCTCGGATTCAGGCCGCGTGGCGGGGGCTCACGACCCGCGTCGCGTACCTCGAGCTCAAGCGGCAGCTGGGCTGGCATCGAAGCAGCCGCATGGCGCCCGCGGTGCGCATCCAGCGCCTCGCCCGCATGCACGCCGACCGCCGGCGCCGCCCGGCACCCGTGCCCAGCCGCGACGCGTGCCTCGCCGACTATTCCACGATCTACACGGAGAAGACGCAGAGAGCACATGCGCGGCATCTGCAGCGGACGCTGCTCGCCACGTACCGCGACCACGTGCAGCACAAGCGCGGCGCCAAGCTCGTGGGACTGCCCATCGAGCCATTTCGCGTGTACAAGAAGGGCGTCGCCACGCTCTTCCCACACGGCAATGGCCACCCGCAGTCGAACAATACAATGGTCAAGACAAAAACAGCGTCCGCCTTTCTCCTGGCCAAAGCCAAGCTCGATCGACATCATCCAGCGTCGCTGCCCCAGCGACTGCGGCAACAAGTGACCAACCAACGGAGCGATCCATACGATTAGAGTTCAAAACATGACGAGGTGCGTCACGAGGCGGCGCCGTGCGCGTCGTTCCATGCGTCGAAACGACCGAGCGTGGCTTCCGACACACTGGGGCGCACACGGTTGAGGGCCGCCGTAAAGTCACTCATCGCAATCGGTCGGAGCTCGTCTTTGGAGATGTGGGCGAGGCGCGCGCCGACGCTGCGCAGTGGACCCATCGCTGCCTCCTTGCAGAGCGTCCGCACGTCGCTGCCCGAAAACCTACAGTGCATTTTGAGGCCAAATATACGGGTTAGGAGAATGCACGCACCCGTTCGTCTCGCGCACGATGCGTTCAATGTCGCGCGATGTAAGCGCGCATGCGTGCGGCTTGAGGGCATGCAATAGAAGAGCTTCCCGCGCCGGCGGGTCCGGGAGGGGCACTAGTAGTCAGAGGCTGTAGCTGTATAACCCTTGTCGCGATCTGTCGACTACCGTAAATCCGTTTTTCAAGGCGGCGAAGAAGTGCCTCGTCGAGCTCGAACGGAAGGTTGGTGGCGCCGAGAACGAGCACCCGGTCGACGCTTCGAGACGCGACACCGTCCATTTGCACGAGAAACTAAGTCGACAGTGTATGAGACACGGCACGTGGCAAGAGTATCAACTTGATTCTTGAGGCGGCGACTGGCTTCGTGTTCGCTGGCGCCTGCGCGGGCTGAGAGCACCGCATCGATCTCGTCCATAAAGATGACGGACGGCTGCAACTCGCGCGCCATCTCGAAGAGCGCACGCACAAGCTTCTCACCTTCGCCCATCCACTTGGACGTGAGCGTCGATGCCGTGATGCTAGTCGCGAAATGACAATCATGGAGGCAGAAAAGAGTCGAGTACGAGAAGAACGTCGCCTTGGCCTCGGTCGCAATCGCCTTGGCGAGCATGGTCTTGCCTAGAGGTACCATGCTCAAGATGATGGTGTCTTGTCGAGCGTCTACGCACCGGTACCGGGCGGGCCAAAGAGCAGCGCGCCCTTGGGTGGACTGCAAAGGCCTATATGCGGGGTATGAGCTGTCGGCTTAAGAGTGCGCTCGTTACCTGTAAAGAGGTCGGGTCGAAGCGTCGGCAGCACAATCGCTTCCTAAGGTCGCCGAGCCTGAGCTCCATTTACGAGAAAGAATACAGTACCTGGAGCGTCTGCTTGGCGAAGCTCAGTCCCGCAATGTCATCCCAGTGCACGCCGGGTGATTTGTCTAGCACCTCGTCGAGGATCATGTGGGCGTACGGATCGTTCTGCGCGACGAGGCTGGACGTGGTCGGCGGCGGCACTGCTAAGGCCTTGACCTGCTCGGCTCTTGTGATGTAGCCCTCGATCTTCTTCTTCCAGCTGTCTTGGTCTGGTATGCCTACGACGATGAATGGAGAGCTGCCCAGCGACAAGGCAGAAGCCGCATACCTGGCAACAACTCGAGCATGTTCTGGATGAGACGCGTGTAGAGCTCGAGCGCCTCAGCGTACGCGCGCGCCTCGTCTGCAGCCACAGCGCTCGTCGCAAGGCTTCGAAGCGCCACCATGCGCGCGTTCTCGGGCTCCGGCGGCGTCGAGGACCGTCGACCAAAGCCAAAGAGATGCATCGCAATTCCGATCCAGTTTGCACTTGGCTACAAACACGCAACGTCGACGGGTTATTTGTCCCAAATGTCCCATGTGTGATATGGGCAATACCCTGCGGGCAAAACCTAATCGGCAACCACCACCGCGACAACCCTGTCACTTGCCGAGATGCTCTGCGGCTACGTCAAGCAGACAGCGTACAATGCCACTACGTATGCTAACATTGTGTGTGGGCGGACGTTGCGAGGGCAGACGGGACGCTCCACACGCAACGCACGACACGGTCGAGCGCTGGCCTCGCCACGCCCATGGGACATTGGGGCAAACAGGATGGGTAATTCCGGTGGATTATCCGGCGCCACCGGAAAGTGCACCGATGGTCAAAACCAACACGATTCGTCGCGCGTGTTTGACGCTGGCGCGGCCGCTGACGCGCCATAGCCACATCAGCGGCAACCAGGTGCGCCCGGGCGTCGCCGTCGAGATCGAGGGCAAGCTGTACCGCGTCGTGAAGAGCCAGTCGGTCAAGCCAGGCAAGGGCGTTGCCTACATGCAGGCGGAGCTTCGAGACATTGTGACGGGCACCAAGATCAACCGCCGGTTCCGGTCCTCCGAGAGCGTCAAGAAGGCGCCGCTGACGAAAGACCAGCCGTTCCAGTTCTTGTACCAAGACGGCAGCAAGCTCGTGCTTATGCAGCCCGAGACCTTTGAGCAGGTGCTCTTCAATTGGTACCGACGCCGCTCACCACCACGCTGCCTTTAGATTGAAGTATCGACGGAGCTCCTCAACGACAAGCAAATGCTTGTCTTGAACGAAGGCATGACCGTGTCGCTGCAGATCGTCGAGGGCGTCCCGCTCTGGCTCACAATGCCCGACTTCGTCACGCTCACGGTCGAGGTACGCCCGACGTTGTCGTCCGTCGCATGGTCGTGACGCACTTGTGTAGTCGATCGTCACGCTTGGCGTTGACAACAAGGAGGCGACCCTGACCAACGGCAGCACGATCCAAGTGCCGGGCAACATTGAAGCCGGCGACGCTGTCAAGGTGTCGAGCGAGACGGGCCTCTTCGTGGAAAAGATGTGAGCGCTATAGACACCAGTACACGAACACGAAGACGGTGCTCTCGGCCCGTTTGGTTGAGTTGCACGAGCACCAGTGTACGCATGCATTGACTACTCTAGGACTTTGAGTTTAGCGGCACACATCACCTTGTGACCGTCTCTCCAACGAGCGCATGTTCTACAATGTGTATCAGCTGCCTACTCTTGCATCCACAACGCGCCTTCCGACTCAGATGTGTAATCGCTCTTCGGAGCAACCGCAGCCTCGAACTGGTCATGGTATCTCCATGCGCAGTAGCCTGCCAATAGTAAGTGTGCAAGGCGTGTGGCCTCGTGTAGCCCATGGCGCGGGTCGGCTCGAGCGACGACGACCTTGGACGTCGACGCTAGCCGCCCCGGCGACGAGTGGCTGGCCAGCCCAACGCCCGTGGTCTGTCGCCCGAAGAAGAGCGAAATTAGTGTGAATTAAACCATGGAAAACCCACTGCAGTGTATTTTTTGCATCGTTGAAGCACGTCTATACAAAGTGCCAGTGCAAATTTAGTAGAGTTGGACGAACCAGCAATAAAACTATGATTCGTCCGGATACTTTCCGAATCCGGATAAATAGCGACCTGAAACGAGAGCTCATTTGCCAAATGGCGTCCAAGTGCTCGGATCGGCCGCCGGCCGCGGAGACGGATCTTCGCCAGACCGACCTCGACGCATGTACCTTCATCTCGGAAGAGCAGCACGGCGACCGCAAGCGCGGGCGAAGCGGCGAGAATGGTCATGTCCATCGTCACAAGCGAACGCATGCGCACCGACGACACCCGTACGCGCGCCGAAGCCGGTCACGGTCGCGATCACCGCAGCGCCCGGCGACGAGGAAGCGACGACGACAGCAGCAGCATCAGAAGGGCAAGAAGCGCGAGGACGAATGGTTCGCAATGGCGTCGGACGATGCCGAAGACGAAGGAGGCAACGACGACGACGACGAGGCCGAGGAGAAGACACAGGACGACGGCGACGAGACGCTGGCGCAAATGGAGAAGCGACTGCGCCCGGGAGCCGCCGACTTGAGCATTGCGAGCGAGCTCCTACACGCATCCGAGTCGTGGCAAGGCGCCAAGCCAACGAACGAAGACCGCGTCGCGCACGTGCTCGATATGCTACCTGGGCCTGCGTTTGCGATCTTTGACGGCCACGGCGGGTCTGCGTCGGCCGACTTTGTGATGCGCAATCTCTTGAAAAACGTGTCGGCCAGTATGCGCCAGCGCGGGCTGCCCGAGACGCAGATCAAGGAACTGCTGAGCGGGAAGCACGCGGACCGACTGAAGGAGTTGAAGCGCAAGACCGAAGTATTGCAATACCAGCAAGAACAGCTGGAAGAGCTCGTCGAGTCCAACAAAAAGATGGACATGTACGAGATCAGCTTGATGCCGTCCGTGTACCAAGACGTGCTCCAGACGCTCGCCGATGGCCGTTCGGCACTCGAGCTTGCCGAGCGCGCGCAGACCGAGCGCGCGGCCAAGGTCGAACGCGTCTACTCGCAGTGCTTTGAGAAGGAGCTCTTCCAGAAGGCCATGATCGAAGGCTTTCTCTTCTCGGACGCTGAGCTCCTTCGAAAGCAGCTCGACGACGGCAGCACGGGCCTCGTCGCGTGGTTTGCAGGCTTCCGACACGAGTGTCTCCGCCTCATTTTGGCCAACGTCGGCGACTGCCGCGCCGTCCTCTGTCGCAACGGAAAAGCCTTGGCGCTCACGCAAGACCACAAACCGAGTCGACCGGACGAAGCTGCGCGGATCAAGCGCGCGGGCGGCTACGTCGGAGCCGTCCAAGGCATCTCGCGCGTCTGCTCTGCGGCCGGCGCCGGCGTTTCTTTGAACAGCCGGGAGCGAACCACGTACCTCTCCGTGTCGCGGTCGTTTGGTGACCGAGCGCTCAAGGTACCGTCCAACATTGTGTGCGCCGACCCCGAAGTCCGCGTCGTGAGCATCGAGCCGACCGACACGTTTCTCGTGCTTGCGTGCGACGGGATCTGGGACGTCTTGAGCAACCAAGACGTAGTAGACATTGGCCTCGAGCACTTCGGCCACCCCAAGCGCGCTGCCGACGCGATCGTCAAGCGCGCGTACGCGGCCCAGAGCAAAGACAACTTGTCGGCGATTGTCGTCTACTTTGGATGGCGGGCCGAGGAGGCCGCCGCGCAGTGGCACGCCGTCCAAGCCGAGCGAGCACGACCAAATAGCAAGGAGTCAAGACCCGTTGCGTTAGAAGAAGAGGCCGGCCTGGATATGTTTAGCATGTAATTAGGGCGATCATACAAGAAGTAGGATAGATCGTCCTCGTCGTCACCAAGGCTACACCTCAAGGCGTCGCCACGACACCACCCGTATGTCTTATTTCCACGCGGTCTCTTACCCGTTGTTTCTGCAAAGGCCCAACCAAGACCAAGCGGACAGAACGCAAGCGTGTTAAACGCCTTAGACAGCGACAATCTGGTCGCGCCCAGCCGCGGCGTCAATGACGGTCTCAAGCAAGACGGCGCCCGTGACGCTGTCCTTGACTGTCTACAATCAGCATCGTCGTCAAGCAACAAGATGGCGCCAACGCGTACCCAAGCATGCGTGGCATGGGTGTTGTAGACATGGTGTTGACGCGGTCCCAGCGTCTTCATGAGCTTGGATCGCCAGTACAAGTCGACCGGCACGTCCGTGGGGTTTTCGAACCGCACCGAGATGCGCGGTCGCGATGCCACGTGTCGCTTCTTGTTCCAGACCCAGAGGTTGGCGCCCCTACATGCCGTCGTACATTGATGCGTCGAGTGGGGCGTGCAATGGATACCACTTGGTGCCGTCAAGGACGGGGCACCCGCCGTGGAACGACGCTGGATCGAGCTCGCCGTTGGGCTTTTGGCTGTAGAAGAGGATCGCATGGGCCTTTCTGGGGTACGAAGCCAGTCTATGATTGCGCTGAGAGGACATGGTCGCGTCAACGAGCCGTACTGCGAGTGGCATTTGAGCGTCATGTCGTGTTCCCAGGACCCCGCATCGAAAAACGACGACGCGAGAGCCGCAATTCCTTGCGTCTCAGCTGGCGGGTGGGCAAAACCCTCGGGCATTTCTGCCTCTGGAAAGACTGTTTGGCCACCCCGCGTGACATTGGAGAGGTAGAGAAAAATGGTGGCAAATCTACACAAGGCATGGCTCAGAATGGGGAAGAGTGCGAGAGGGCACACCGGTTGGTCCCCCCCGTGTGCGGATCCGGGTTCCACGCATCGGTCGGCGCCTTGGAAAAGTAGTCAGTGTGCGGCACGTACGCCTGCTTGGGACCATAGCGCAAAATCTGGACGCCGTCGCACATCTCGGGGTCGTAACTTCCGGCGCGCAACAAGTCGAACGACCGCTTCCGAAATGCAATCGCCGCGGGCGACGTCGAGTCGAACGCGTTCTCGCTCGTTCGACGCGGCGACCGGCGCACGCCTTCGGCCGACGATCCGACTGTCGATGGACGCAGCTTCTCGTGCTCGGCGACGTCGTCTGCGTCGTCTTTGGCGAGCACCTGCTGAATGAGAACATCGGCGTCGGCTTCGGAGAAAAAGTGGTGCACGTGGAAGACGCGCGGCGACTCGGTCCACGACTCGAGAATGAGCGGCGTCTTCGTCGGGCTCTGCGTGGACTCGATGAGCACGCGGTGGCCGGGTCTTACAAACGGCCATACAAAGAGCAGGCCCGGGGCCACAAGGTAGAGTCGGTCCCCGGCGGCAATGTCGTCGTACGAGTTGACGAGGTGGCCATTGCCCGTGTAGACGCGGTCAGCTACCACTGGCGTCGCGTAGTTGGCGAGGCCTTCGACTTCAACAAGCGTCGAGAGATAGGCGGCGAGCGCGACACCCGACGGCACGAGCGCGGGAGGGAGCGCGACGGCAATGCCGTTGGTGGACTTGCCGTTGGCGTAGACGGTGACAGGCTTGTGGGGCGGTGTCGACGATAGCAGCCATCCATAGGTTGCCGCTGGGTCCACCAAGTACGCGAGTAGCGCCATCGCCGCCGCGATGTACAGCCACGTCGTCGTTGCCTTGGTGCCCATCTCTCGATGTTGTCGACGAACTTGCCAAATGGCATGCGCGCCGTTCGAAGCAGCACGGGTAGCCAATCAGCGGCCGTGAATTTAGAGCCACCACGAATCCAACTGCAAACGTCGACGGCAGTGTGGTACAGAGCACATTCGAGTTCGCTGGGATTCTGGCGCCGCAGAGCAATAATCCCAACAGTAATAGCCGCCGAACCACAAGTGTGACCTAGACGGCAGCCCCTACGTCACAGATGTTCCATGACCACCATTGACATATTTCCGTGTGGCTCGAGCCCACCGCTGCGCACGTCTTACGCAAAGCAGCGCATCTCTCCCAAGCGCGTTATGCTTGCTACGAAATGGTCTGCGCGCGCGGAATTAAGCACCAAGTCCATATTTTCTGCTTTCGAACCACCATGACCTTTTGGTTAGTTCCCCCCGTACTGACATGCCCGCTTCTTCCACCGAGGCATTTGCATCGAATCACTTCAGAGCGTTTTGCATGCTCTTGAAATTTGTCGTGTCTTAGGATGGCATCATACAAGCCCAAATGGGTCATCGACGATGAGACTCTAGCAACAGCACCTGCGTAGCTGGAAGCGATTCTCCCATGCCAAGCTCAATAAATGCAACACTACACACTACAGTACTCGCGAATTGAATGTGGCAGTATTATTCTTGCAGTCGTGACAACGAAGCGAAGGACGATCGTATCGATCAAGGCCGAGCGATATTCGTCTTCCCAGTGACAAGAGTCTGCAAACATCTTCATCGCGGACCCTTGCCAATGCTCGTCAAGTATCGCAGGATGCCCTCAGGGTGGAAGGTCATGGTTGAGCAACTTTTGAAGTGATGATGCTGGTCGCAGGACGTTCCAACAAGCACCGTCTCGCCATAAATTACTGTAGATGTAAAAACAAAACATAACGTACCTGCCTGTACCCTCGAGCCCTCGAGCTCATCCTTGGAGTCTCATTACCCTTTCGGCGCGATAACACGTCATTGCTACAGAAGCCATGTCTTTCTGGACTGTCTTTGCTGGACTTTCTACTGCCGCATCAATCTTTATGAAGCTGCGTTTCGCACCTGCAGCCACACGACGCATGGCTCGTACTGGCTTCATCTTGGCCCCTGAGGAGGTTTTGCATACCCTGCCTGCGGCGTCAGGTTCTGCTCCATGTCCCGCTCCGTCTCGGCCGTCGACTTGCCACAACACACGACGACCTATCCATGCATACGGACACTGAGGTAGATTTAGCTCTCGGCAGCTCCAGGACGAACGAGCTTCCATGCTGGGGCATGGAAGGACGTTTACTGGCGCCATCAACCCGAGAGATCCACTGGCACGAGCGAGCTCCTGAACACCCTTCTTGTCGAATACAAGCCCTGACAAAATTATTCTGATATGCGGCAAGCGGCGCTCTGTCCAGTTTCATCCTCAGCCTGAACCCACACCGCAGACATATATACACGCATCTCGCGCCAGGTGCTGACCAATCGCCCACGTTATCGAGGTTATGGACAGGGAGGGACCTATTCTTGCGAAACGCAAAATACCCTCTCTATGAATGCTGTGGGCGCCATTCGCAGACTTGCAGTAGTGCGAGACTGGGCGTGAGATCAATCGAAGCGAGACGGCCAGCGCTCCAGAATTCGCGGGGACGAAAATCCTCCCATCTTTTCGCACCCGTCGACGGAATAGAACGCTCGCGTGGCCAGCGTCCTCTGGCCCTGTGCACTGAGAGGAACCAGCGCAGTGCACGCCGAAAGACGTGTAGCAGCTGTAGATGCAATGGCGCCGGCCACAGGGCAGTCAATGGTTCGACGTGCGCTGTCTCCTCTGGCGCATCTGCGGCTGCAGCGTCATGGTTATTTTAATAGAGCAAGTGGCTTGTAGCGTGCGCCACCATTTCCTCACTGCGTATCCCTACCCCTACAAAGCCCTAGCCCTAGGCTGCATAGCCATGGCTCGAGCTACGATCGGCGCTATCGGATCTTTGTACAAGTGCGTGGTCTCTAGTGTCGGCCTCCACGAGTCTGCCTCCAAGACGTCGTGGCAACTGCACTTGTTCGAGACGGTCTTTTCGACCGTTCACGCATGGGTGCGTCATGACCAGCGTCTGACGCAGCGTGTACCCGGACGATTGTCTGCGCTACTGTGCGATATGCCGTCGCACGTCGGCACCCATGCGATGGACCGTGTCCGTTGCTTTGCCAGCGACGGCCGTGCGTCAGTGTTGCGACATTAGGATTGCAAGACGTTGGTCGACGATCACCCGTCGCCTTGACTGCATTACCAAGGTGCCCATTGCATGGACACGCAGCGGGGCGTGCGCTTTTCTGTGGCCGTTGGAGCTAGATCGCAACGGCTTCTTCAAGTAGCCCACCTTGGACACCGCTCTTGGCCACGTCGACGAGGAGCGCGCTGACACTAGACGCGTCACCGTGAGCATGGCACCGTAAGCGCTTGCGTGTCGTACCGGGTGGCGGTCCACGTCGACCAGAAGGTTTCCACGCGCGGCAGCACGGACGGGTGCAGCACGAGTGCGAAGATGGCATCGTTGCCGCCGGCTACAACCAGCCGATGAATCAACCATATCCCACGCAAGCACGAGTCTCTACCACCGGGCACGCCGCCAAAGAGCACACCGGGCACGCGCATGGTCGCGTCAATTAGCGCGGTTTGCTCCTCGGGCTCGATCGCGACGCCTGCCGCCGACCCCATCGTCCTACCATTCAAATAAGATACGCGGGATCCAAGTCGACGCACCGCAAGAGGTGGCGAATCTCCTCGAATGTCGCGCGCATTGCGAGCAAGGCAGCACCGAGCACGGCGTTTAGGTGCACCCACTAGTCAATTCATGGCGGGGTCCTATTGCGGGGGCATGCGACGTACCGAGGTCGACGGCGCCTCGGCGAGGCGCGCCCAAACATCGTCGGCCACCGCCGGGAGGGCTTCAAATTGGGCGACGATCTGCATGTTCTTGGCGTTGAGCGTTTCCCAGAGGGCGTGCGAGCCCGCTGCGTCAGCCTTCTTCCACGCCAAGACCTACGCGCAGCATACAACACCTGCGTCACTACATTCGAGAACGTGTACCTGGCGGACCATCGAGACCGTGGCCGACCCGGCGTTGACGTCGCCCATGATCATGTGCATGTTGTGGGGCAGCCCAAACGGTTTCTAGCATCGCGTCGTCTTGGAGCTTTACACGATAAAAAGATCAATGTAAGCGTACGACGACGTTGTCCCAGCGCGACTGGATGCAGGCGGCGAGGTCGGCCGGTGCGATCGCCGACAGATTCTTCTGCGCCACAAACGATTGGACGCGCTCGGGCGAAAAGCGGTTGTAGCACTGGTTGCCGTACGCCGCGGCCGAGACGTCAAAGCCACTGCCAATCTACTCACGCATTTTTCAAGCGTTCAGAGGAGCGCGATGGCACGCACCTTGTCTTGCGCAATCGAGTGCGCAATCTGCGCGAGGTGGTGCACGATGTCGACGCCGGGCGTCACCGCCGTCGACTGCGCCGTCGGAAGCGTCACTGCACCAAAAAAGCGCAAGACGGCACCGACGAGCGACGTGATGAGCGCCGCCGAGCTGCCCATGCCCGTCTTGGCAATGACCGGAGTCCCTGGACAATGCCATCATGAGCGCAGGCGCCAGAAAATTGGGATGAACCAGAGGCGTCCAGTGGGCACGGAAGAAAGGCCGGGAGCTTGGCAAGGTGTTCGCGCGTCACGGGCAGGCCACGCTCGAGTAGCTAATAAAATCGTGTCGACGATGCGGAGGAAACGCGTGCCTCTACCTGCGCACTTTGCGAGTAAAAGTCATTGTCGGCTTCGAGCGTAATGCGCAGCGAGTGCGTTTTCGCCAGCGACGCCAGCTTGGCGCCGAACGCTGGGCCAAGAAGGCCGTGCAGCGCCTTGGCACACACCTGCAGCGTCTTCTCGACGTACGGGTTGGCCGGACTCTGCGGCCTACACAAGCAAAGAAGCAGTCATGATGCACTGTGGCGAAGAGAGCGACAGCGTACGAGAGCTCAAAGGCGTCGGCCGAGAGGACACCGGTCAACACTTGGTGGAACTGCGGGCTGTGCACAGTCACCGCCAGCGCAGACGACGGCGTCGCCGACGCATCGAGCGAGACCGCCGTGTGGAAGCGAGAGCTAGCGGCGAGAACGGCGCCAGCGTACTGCGGCTCCAGCACCAAGTAGCCGCCAGCGATCAAGACCTTTCCAGGCGCCGAGACGCGCGTCATCGTCGTCGTCGTCATTGCAATTCTACGTATCCGGACGCACCAAAAACCGGTCGCGAAAAAAGAGGTTTATCCCAAAAACCCAAAAACCCAGTGCAACGAAGTTCAAACCGCAGTTAGACCACCACGAGATTTGCCTCGAAAAGAAAGAGGTCGATTCGTCAGTCGCAGTCCAGCTTGCGTGCAAGAAGGAAGCTGTACAGATAGCGAGAGTGGTGGACGGGGCTTTGACCTTGGGGATTCGGCTGCTTCGCAGCGCTATCATGGGTATACCGGTAGCCGTTGCGAGCAGCCACTGCGCATATACCAAGACGAACCTTGCCTTGAAGGCACCTCACTGGTTGGCGTCACCGTAGAAGTGGCGATGAGGGTCCACGGTGCTGCACTTGATGTGTGCTCCGTACAGTAGACTTGTGCGTCTTGAAACGGCACTAGCATGAGATGCGCAGGAGTCGAGTGGCAGCCAAAAGTTTCGCGTAGACTCCGTGGCTCTCTTGCATCCTGAGCCAGCAGCTTCAACCAGCAAGCATGCGCCCGGAATCTGCTCAGAGTGGCTTTTGCCTCTGCATGCGTTCCAGCTTGGAAACATGCAACTTCTCATAGTTTTGAAGCGGATCTGCCGCCACGGTACCTCGCTGCATTACGGCGCACGCACGCGATATGGGCATCATACGTGGGTGTAATTGTGCGGTAGGACGGTGGCGAAACTTGCCCTTTTTCCATGCTGCTGCCCACCGCAGAGGCGCTTACAAGTGGCAATATCAGTAAGCACAGTGAGAGGAACCCATGGAGAATACACGCGGAGTCCAACCGCATTCATGGCACGGAAGCTGATACCAATTCGCATCACGTCGGAACGCAACTCGCCACCAACTACCGAAAGCCAATCACGTTGGGTCAAAGTGAGCTAATATATGTACGACGTGGTGTTTGCATGACCATCCTGGGACTTGTACTCATCAAGTCCGGAACGACGTCATGTTCCATGACCCGTTGGTACCTAAGTCTTGACTGTTGTTGGGGTTCGTAGTGTTGATGACCGGCCACTGTCCTCTTCTGGGGCAAAACCCGTCGCGTCCCAAGTTGCTTGGGATAAACGCTTGGGACAAAAACCGTGTGGGATGTTGGACGTTGCTTTTCTGCCATTGGATTGGTGAAAAAGAGGCCAACCAAACAGCGTTTTTCGCATGCGACGGTCACGGATTGGCTGCATTCTAAAAACACATTGATTCGCTATAATCCCAGCCGAAACCGCATTTGATTGGCTGTATATTTCCTTCGCGGTTAAATCTGACCTACAGCAGCGCCAAGCATGATGGCAGGCCGGGCAGGGAAGCGCAAGGCCATGGTCGACGACTCGGACTCGGACGACCCGCGTATCATGGCCCGCGAAGAATCGGGCAGCGAGGAAGAGGCAGCTCCCGTGGCCGCCAAGTCCTCTTCGGAATGGGAGGCTATCGTGAACGCCGAGGTCAACGAGACGCTTCCGGCCGCGCTCCAAATGTGCGTGTCCAATGCCAAGAAGCAGCGCCAAGACCTCCTGAAGCGCGTGCTCGAAGGTGCCAAGGCCACGGAGCACCTCGTCGCGACGGTCAAGGACATTGGCGACGACAACCAGATCGAGGTCCTCAAGGGCGTCACGACCAACTTTGTGCAGCTCCACGGGCGCATTAGCGCCTACGAGAAGAAGCTTGAAGGTCTTAGCACGGCGCTGCAGTCGGGACGCGTCCCATCAACGTACCGCGGGGCGCTGAACGTGTCTTCGTCGCGCGTCTCGGACGCGCAAGTCATGCAGCACGACTTTTACAAGCGCTTCTGCGGCGCGGCCGGGGTATCAAGCACTCGTGTTGGCAGGCAGTATGCGTCTGTCTTGTAGATTGAAGAGGAAGGCGATGATGACGATGTGGATGTGCTCGTCCAAGAGACCGAGGCGGCCAACACCATCACGTGCCCGATTACGCTGTTGGAGATGGTCGAGCCCGTGCGCAAGTTCGTGTTTCAAGATTGCGAGGTCACACCATATTGACGTATCTTCCTCGATAGCAAGCGCTGTGGCCATACGTACTCGAAGGCTGGCATCACGGCCCACCTCAAGCGAAAGAACGCCTGCCCCATTGGCGGTACGCCGCAGTCTGCGTGCGATCCATTAACGATGCCGGCTCGTAGGCTGTCGCGAAAAGGTTGGTCTCCACGACCTCGAGCGCGATGTCGAAATGGAAGTCCGCATTGCGAGGTGCTGCTGTATATCTATGCGTAAAAGTGCTCTCAACGCCGAGTCTCTTGATGTAGCAACCGCCGCGCGCAGGCGACGCAGCAGCTCAACAGCACGAACGCGGCCATCGACATGGACGACGACGATGACGACGACGAGATCCTCGAACACAACGTCGAATAAGGCTATTAATCCATCCATTCCCAGCGCATACAAGCTCGCTTGACCGCTGTCGTCGCAGCTGCCTTCGTGCTGGAGCGTTCCTATCCCATGCTTCTTCGTTTGGTCGCTTTAGTGGTACAAGCTGGACAGATACGTTGACGACGGACCAGTAAGTATGCGGCGGCATGGGATCTCGCGCCGAAACAACTGGCCATGACGCAGGCGCGGCCGTCCCACGCCCGCATCTATTTGGTGCAAAAAAATGATAGGACGAGTTCACGTCGCAAGGCGCCGGCTTAGATGGCAGTCCCACTCTTCCGCTTTCCGAGTCGTTGGTAGCATTTCTAAATTGGACCGCCACCGAGCAAGCCTCTACCCGCCACACCAGTACACGATGGCTTCGACGACCGCGACGTGCTTCTTCAACGACTGCAAGAACCCCGTGCTCCCCGGCTCGTGGAAGTGTGCGTACCACCGCCGCCGCGCCCGCTGCCTCGTGCAAGAGTGCACCAACCAAGTGCACGCGCGCAACCTCTGCGTGCGCCACGGCGGCCAAAAGACGTGCCAGTTTGAGGGCTGCTGCATGAACGCGCGCATCCGCGGCTTCTGCTACAAGCACGGCGGCAAGGACAACCGCCGCCGGTGCGCCGTCGACGGCTGCACGCGCAACGCCGCGTACGACCACAAGTGCATCGCCCACGGTGGCGGCCGGCGCTGCACGACGGAAGGCTGCTCGGCGCACGTGCGCAAGCAAGGGC